TTTAGAAGTCTTTCTTTTGAATATGTACAATATTTATATGATTTACGGTACAACAAAAAATAAATAAAACGAAAAGCAACAATAATAAAATGTGAAATTATTTCATATTGAAATAAGTTTCATTACTTTTATTATGATAGCGATGGTAATTTTTTTTTATTAGAAATAACTAAACCTGAAGATTTAAATGTTTAACCTTTACAATTAAAATATGATTATGCTCTCCAGTTAAGTATTGTTCACAGTGGTTGTCGTAAATCTTAATTTAATATTAATTTTGATTATGTTTTCCAATTTTTATAGATATACTTACTGTAAAGTGTTGTACTATAAAATATATAATATAACACAATATAGTTAATCGTTATATGTATTATATTAATATACGATTATTTAAATTCAGATTTTTCTGGCGTTGTTGATATTAAATTTTGTTCGATTTTTTTTTCAATTGGTTTGTCTCCGAGGGGGACAACGGTTTGTAGAAAAATTAAATTTTTATTTTCATCCCGTAAACACACACAAAAATTATATTTGTAAATTGAAATTGAAATTTGAAAATTTGTAAATAATGTATCATATATTTATAACCGATTAATAGTTTCTTAATTATAGCGGTTTTAATTTCTAGATAATTGACGTGAAAACGATTAATATTCAATAGAAGGTAATAGAAACAAAGTAATAGAAGGTAAAATGTTACCGTGTTTATTGTAATTCCTTATCGCATAACATGTTATTTTATTTAATATTAATTATTTTGATGCCTAATTTTAACGGCTATAACCAAGAAATAATTCATCGAATATGAATGTGTGATACATTAAAATTGTTTGAATAATATTATTTACAAAATGGCTATTTTGAAAAATGTTTAAAGTGAATAAATAAAAAGTTATTTTGTTTTTTTTGTTATTAGGGGATGAAATTAAAAATTTTAATTTTTTCCAAATCTATGTCCTCCTCAAAGACAAACCGATTGAATAAAAAAACATCGAACACAATTTAATATTAACAGCGCAAAAAAAATCCGTCAAACACAGTGGGACACACTATATATTTATTTATCAATAACTTTATTAACCTCGGAAATAAGACTGATATATTTTGTCACAGATTTAAATGATAAAAAAATAACAAAAAATATTTTATATTATATTAGATATTACATTTATACAAGACCGGAGATAAGAAATGTCTATATCCGTATACAATCTTTTTCTGAGTAACACGTCATATAAGTTCGAATGTGATACAAATTATGTTCAGTTAATTCTTTGTAGGCCAGTAAACTCGATGCTAAAAAATTAAAAAGTTTACAGCATTGATAGTTTCATTATTTTCAATATATTTTTTTTTAATTCGATTAAAAATAATTGTAGATACCTAAAATATATACCGACTATATATATATAATCATACAATACATCTAGACGTGATAAAATGTTTAAAAATTCTGTTGATTTTCGAGTTATTTATTTGTATTTGATATATGTGTTCGAGTTATTTTGTATTTTTTTTATTTGAGAGGTTTTATGTGGATATCATTTTATAACCAAACAGAAAACTTTATTTAATTTTCATTGTAGATTATAGTTAAAGGTAAAAAAAAAAAAAAAAATTAAGCGTTATTTAGTAATTAGTTTTATAATCGTTTTAAGTTCAATTTTTTGAAAAATCATAAAAATTATGGTACCTATTTCAAATGATGTATAACCGATCTTCGCTCGAAATTATTTTTTTTAGGAATGGATTATCGATTTATATAGAAATAAAAAAAACAATATTACTTATCCTACTTTTCCAATTTCGAATTTTAAACAGTGATACCCTTATCCTATGTGTCGGCTCATTTTTTAAACTATTTTGAATGTATATAATACTAAACCATAATTTGTTTTAGAAAAATATTTTTTGCAGTAATGGAATTTTCTAAAAGATTGATATACGCGTATATAATATATATATTGTTGATCATCCTTTACGGATCATTGATCATTATTTATGACTGGCCCAACGTTGAACGATATTGAATTCGGACACTTTTAAGGTTAGTGTATGAAACTTGAAGTAAGTATACAGTATGTAGGTATCTATTAGAAAGTTATCGCCTAGATGTATATTTTCCGAACTGAAAATATAATAATATACCTATACGATGCTGCTGCAGAAAACATCGACATTATATACTACTGGTTGGGGCGTGTTTTGTGTACTATCATGGTGTTCTTTATCACGATAGACCCGGGTACGTTAAAAATAATCCTCGGGTAAAATCCAATAACGATAACGGCGGAGTATTATTGTACGAAGCCCGATTACTTACCTAATCAATTAGTTTGCGAAGTCACCGAGTTTAAATCCACAGTTTATCACGCGAGTTGTTACACACCGAGATACTTAGATACACTCTTCCAGTGTAGAATATTCATCGCGAGATTCGTGCGTTTTAATCCTGGGACAATCAATTAATATATTGTTTAATCAGCGGTGACCGCGCAGTGATTAATATATTTTGTGGTGGTGGTGGCGGGGTTTTTGCGTATATACACAGGGTGATTCTTTAACCGAATGCACCTTCAGTGGTTTCGGAATCTATTACAAAGATTCCGAATAAAAATGATTTCAGGATATTTTTTTCGAATTTCAAAAATTAAACCCAATATATTGCGCACGATAGTTAAATGATTTTATATAATTTTTGGTCCAACGGTGACATTGGTAAGTTGTAGCAATTTGCCGACCTTTCGTTATCATACGTTTTTTTTTTAAATACATTTTTTAATAAAACATAGTGAAATATATTTTTAATTAAGTTGTTATTTACTATGGAGTTAAAAAATATAAAAATAATTAGCCGGGTATAAAACATGTTTAGCAAACAATCATATATAAGAGAAAAGAGGTACACATAATTTAAGTTATAAATTGTTACTTTAAGTATGTGACGTTTTTTAGTGGGAAAAATTTAAAATTTTCAATAAACCCAAAGTAAATCATGATGTGTGTATGTATTGTTTTTGTATTTTATTTTGGAATTTGTTAAGATGATTCAAAATTGTAGCTGATCCTAACATTTTTTTTTAATTTAAAGTGTGCTAAATATTTTCTGTGTTAATGTTGGGACTGGTTGTTATGGGGCGGCAAATTTAACGCCCATAAAATGACGCTCCACAAACATTAACTATTTGTTTTCCTTGTTAGTAAGCTAACTAGCGCGTATTATTTACGATATTTTCAAAATTATACCCCTTCATTTGAATCGTGTTATCCGTGTAACTCCATAAACACGTCGTAATGATATTCAAATAGCAATTTAATTATCCTTTAAAATCCTATTTGAAAATAGAAAATACATATTATAATAGTCTAACACGTCCAAAATTATTATATAAATCGTATCGCGAACTTCGTTGATGGTTTTTTTTTTTTATTTTTGTAGAAAACTATTCTGCACTGAAAAACTCGACAAACGCTTTACATATAATAAAATATTTATATGGATATTATACACCTACATGGCTGGATTATTGTCATAGTCTGAATATTATTGGTGAGTTATACTCTTTTATCCCAACGAAGAGAGAAATATGTACTAGTTTCGCTATAATGTAGGATTTTTTTTTTTTTTTGTGTCTGTTAGCAACTTTTTAAGATACCGGAAATCTCGCTTTAATCAAATTACCAGTTTGAACATTTTTAATGAGCTTTTTTTATAAACGATTGTGTTTTGTTGGAGCATTTGAAAGACCGGTTTCGATTTTCCATGGAGTTTTCTTAATAACGATAGGAATATGGAAAAATGTAGTGCTTATAATATTTGTATAATATGTTACCATTGGACGGCAAAACTTCCGATGATAACGACAAATTTTGTATACTAAAAAAAAACGAGACGAAACATTGTGGCCCCTTTAAACTAGTGTCCTGGAGCTACAGCCTCTCCTAACTCGAAAGAGGGCTGTATTGCGGGAGGACTTAGTAGCCAATAACAATTAGGTTGTTTTCCCAAATAAGTTAGACCACGTGCGACACGTGTTCGGACACACGATCGGGATGACAAGCGTATATCTTGACTAGTCGCACAACTTGATAATGAGGGGTCCATATAAAAATGTTCATACTGGGGCCCTGCTAATAAAAATGAAAAACAGTTACACCTTATTATAACTTCAAAAATATCGTTTTCTCACTTGTCATAGTTAATATTTATTAGTTATTAGTTATATATATATATATAAATTACACACACATATGTAATAATATAAAATGTTTCAATTGTAGTTTATATTCTATATCCGCATTCCGATTTCCGGTATCTATACAGTAAATACGGCTATTATATGGTACACAGGTTTCTCACATAGGTATTCGTAATTTGAATTCTCTATACTCAAAAGAGTAAAGAAGTTATTATTTATTTTTATAAAAATATATAGTATAATATGAGTAGGAAAGATGGGGCATTGAGACACGGGGCACAGTGAGACAATGTAAATAGATAACGGAGAAATAAAAACTAGCGGTTCATATCGATATGAAACGATACGAAATGTTAAATGTAACGCTTCTATATTGTAGCGGTTTGATACTGATAACCTGACTCACGTTTATCAAAATTTGCTGCAATTTTGTTATTAAAAAAAAAAAAAAAAAACAATAATAAAATATGTCTATAGGAAGAATAGTAGGAATATGAATATCGTATATGAGATTTCGGAGCTCGCCAAATCCGGGGCCCCTGTGAATTGCACTTTCAACACTCCTGATAATTGCGCCACTGATCTTAGCACAAACACGCGGGGTACAAACAAATATAACACACACGCGTGCACTCACACAAATCCCGAAACAAACATATCAAATATTGTACACGCGCGCGCGGTTGCGACGGACGCGACAACGGCGAGGGTGCGTGACTCCCACGGGAGGCGGGGCCGACGACGGCTTTTGTAGACACTATATAACATGTTGCCGTGAAGTGTCGAGCCGCAGACGGCATTTCAAAAACACCGAGCGGACATTTCATCCCTCCGGCAACGTCCTCGTCTCGTCCCGCTGCAACAGCAGTCCGCGGTACACGCACACGCACACTGCACACTACACGAGCCGTCGACGTCGGCGCGCGCGTCACGTAGTCGTCTTCCGTCGTCCGTCGTCCGGCCGCATTATAAACCGCGCACTATACGGACCGCACGCACGCACACACCCACGGGCCACCCCGTATATAAAAGTATCGCTTGTCGTATTGTCCTGTCCACTCGATTTCTGCCACCGGTCTCTTGCGTTCCATAAGTATCGTACGGTCCTGTCGTCGTCTAAGTCGTGACTTGTCGTGTCTTCTGTACATCATTACAGTCGCCAAAGCCACCGGACAAAGGGCGCAACAGGCTATACCGTATCGTGTGTGCCGTACCGCCGTTGTCGCAGTCCACAAGTACGAGGAGCATTCCGGCACGACCGGCATAACCAAGGAAAAGGTTAGTAATAAACTCGCCGTGACAGATACAATGGATGATGTTATACGCCTTAAAAACCGAAATACGTGCCGAAATAAACTTAGAAAAAAAAAAAAAAAAATTGGAAATCCTAATATTTTATTTTATAATTAAGCTTTAAATCAATAATTTTTTCAGCTTGAAAGTAAAACAGTTTCAATATTTTTGATAAAAATAACTTCGAATATGTATTATATCGTCGGCTATCCAGAAAAACCTCATAAATTTTACTTTGGTTTATTCTAGGAATTTGTACCTTTGTCACAGTTGTTTGCTCCTCTTATAAAATGTATATATAATATAAATTATATCTTATAAAATGTATATATAATATAAATTATATCTTATAAAATTGACTTACAAAGTTGTATAGGTAGCCGATAATATTTTTAAAAAAATACCTGGTTTTGATTATAAATTTAAAAGACAAATGGAGTAATAATAAACTTATAGCCTGATCATACTTTAAACATGTTACCAATTATTTTGGAATTCTCGATTTAAGGAGTTATAATAAAAAACTCTAGTAAATTTGAAAAACCCACAACATACAGTATAATTTTATGAATGCTGAATTTTTATTTCACGAAATACATTTTTTAGTACAAATAAGTAATTTTTTTTTTTTGATCGATCAATGAAAAAATAAAAATATTTTTAAAGCATGCTACGACGTTACCGTTTTCATTGTTTTTAATTTTTGCAACTTATTTACTTATGTTTTCTACCAGAAATATTGCTTAAATAAAAAATTGCAAACGATCAATTTTGATCATTTTAGTATATAGTCACTGACATATAAAATCGTTTTTAGTATTGAAAGAATTTTTTGTAATAATTGGGAAAACCCAAAAATTTGAAAAATATGTTTTTTTTTTCAAATTACGGTGGATTGATTTTATTGTTTAAAATTTTTACCTCATAAATTTTCTATTATAATTATCGCTCCAATATTGTTGAAAATTGTTGAAAAACAGCAAGAGACTTTTGGTTGCATTTTAATTTAGTTAGCAAGTAAGGAAGTTGATTTTGATAATGAAAAACCGAAAAAAATGTAGAAAGTACCACAGAATAATTTATGAAAATAATTACTTTATTAATTTAAATTTCGTTTTATTTTTAAATATAATTCATTTAAAAATATTCGAAGAGACTTATATTTATTTTATCTAAACGTGGTAAAATTTTCAAAACATTTGAGCCATTTTTAAATTATTTATAGACATTTTAATTTTGTGAGTTGGTTATGGCGTAGTTTTTATTTAGCAGGTAATCTGTGGACAAAATGTTTAGATTAAAGAGATATACTTGAAATTTAACAAGAGGTTTATTATAAGTTGCACTTAGTGGTAACAAAAAAATTAATTCTAATGTAGTATTTTTTTTTATACAAGTTCTAAAATCAAATTTTGACGAAAATCATAAACATTACAATCTTTCAAAACATGCGTAACTGAACTTCGCTTTGAAATGTTTTTCGTTAGCTATAGTTTAACGTTGGTTACAGGTATAATAAATAACTTAATACATCGTACCTACACAATTTCCCACTTTCAACAGTGGTAAACTCGTCCCCAGTATCAGTTCTTTTTTTTTTTTTGTGCTCAATGACAATGAAAGATAATATTCAAATTATTCATGTCATAGGTAATAAATTAAAAGTAAAACATTCAGTATTTGGTATTTTTCAATTTTTTTTGTTTTATAAATATTTGTCTTTTTTCTAAAGATAATTTCTGAAAATTTCTAAGGCATTTAAATCCGATATCTATTGGTGATAAAACATGTATATACATTAATAATCCAGTCCAATAGTCCAACAAATAATATCATTGTGTTTTTCGTAGGCTGTTTGTCTTTTTATTTTACATATATTTTAATTAAACAGGAACAAAGCAGAACTACTCTGACAAGAATCGCGAAACAGTTATGTTATTTTCCTGCCCCGTCTACTATTCGATTCGACTGTCATAATATTATTATAATATAATAGATACAAACAATTCGTTTTGAATGATTTTTTGTTATTTTTATTACGGTTTATGTACACGCGTGCATAGTAATGGTATTATTATTGTATATCATAAAATATTGCGGGGGTGTATATAAAGAAACGAAAATAGTATTCTTAATAACGAAGGTGTAATATTAACACATTTATGGGATTTGGTTTTTACAATAATACCATCGGAATTTGTACAAAAAAAATTAACTGATCCGGCCAAGTTTAGTAAAAAATATATATATAGTATATACACAATAATTAGTTTGTTATTATATGATATTAGTCAAAACTGAGCAAAATACACCGACAAATACTTTGGGCCATCTAGGGTAAACTATTGTTGTTGGTGAGAAATTGATCAGGTAGAGGATATAAAATACCTAATTTTTAATATATGTATTTAACAACTGAAAGAACGGCAAACTATTGAAAAAAAAAAAAACAACTGATTCTAAGCAGAGTTTAGTGAACACTGGTAACGTATAATTTATGACATATTATTAATATGTTTATTAAATATAAACGATTAAGAACACTGAAGATAAAAATACGAACAGGATAAAAAATACTAGATGTATATTAAGCATCATCACCTTTTCGTTTCACTCATCGTGACGTCTTGACGGTTAACATTTTTAGATTTTAAGTGGAGATGGATATGTATTAATTTCATTATAATGTGTGTTTTTTTAAAAAAAATTATTTGTGATCTGTAATGAATAAATTCATCTATTCTCTATCAACATCTAGCTAGGAATTACTAGAGTATTTTTGTGAAAGACAATTTTGTCTGGATTGTGCGTATAAAGATCGTTTTTTGATTTTCTATGCAGTTTTTCAAATAATTGAAAAAAACTGGTATAAAACGTAGAAAAACAGAGAAAAAGTTAAAAAAAAAGCATAGAGTCCTTATATTTTCACAAAATTTCTTTATAAGTATTTTATCGACGTGGTGAATCATTTTGGCGATTTTTGAGCTATCCATTTAATATTTTTGAATTTTTTTTACCTTTAACTTGGTTTTATATGAATACAATTGTTACAAACAGAAATGTTTGACAATTTAACATAAAGTTTATTATAAGGTTTATTTAGTGGTCTAAAAATATTAAAAGTTGAACTTAATGAAATAGTTATTTTTACAAACATTTTAATTTCAAATTCCGATGAAAATGATAAAAATTGCGGTACTTATAATAATTAATTATATTAATTATATATGCTCGTAGTTGTCATTATCTTAAGTATTTTTTCATGCTTAGTCGTGATAGTAACCAAAATGTTTAGAGAAAATCCGTTTCCATGACAACTTTAATTTTTTTTCCACAACATGCCACACAGAAGAATATTATCCGTATCGTGTGCATGTTTATGACCAAAATATAGCATCCGATATTTTTGTACAAGTAAATAAAAAAGAACACCAATTTTTCAAACAAATACACCACAGATAAAGTTCTTCTTTATACAATATAATATTCATTGTGAAATCTTGATGATTCTACTCTATTATAGGGCGGGAAAAGTTATTGCGCACAAAACAGTTTTAAAATCAAATTATTTATTCGGCCGTTGTGTTTCCATGTCATCTTATAAAATGCAAAAAAAAAACAAAGCTTTTAGATTGATATTTTATAATGACATGTGTTATTGTAATTTTAAAATTATACGTTAAAAACTATTTTTTTATGTGATTATTTTAAAAAATATTTCGATATTTAGTTTTTTCTATCCTCGAATATCACATTAAATGTTATGTTATGTCGGGTATATAATTTTCAGTTTCTTGCCATAATATTTCGAATTGTATACCTAAATTAAAAACCGAAAAATTACATAATTAACGAAATAAAAAGCATTCATTAAGTATAAATCAGTGCACCCCTTTTCCCGAAAAAAACCGGTCAAAAAGTTTTAAATGCTATTGATACACACAGTGCCGTTATCAATGGCCTCATTTCCCTTCAATATTTTTAATAATATATATTTTATATTTTATCTATAAATCTACAATTATACAGTTATTAAAAAATTATCTTAACAAAATAATTGAATCATCACTAAACTATATTATATCAGATAATATACCGAACTAATACTTTATGTAGCATATCGTATACTATATTATATAGCGTCAGTTCGGTAGGTATCTAAATATATCGTTAATTTTAATATGTATCCCTCGGATTCCCATAGTGAACTAAAATGAATAAAACAAAATTGATAAGTCAAATGACCTATAAAGATTAAAGATTTATATCAATCATCGAAAATAACTACATGGTTATATATTACAAATACATTGAAAGCTATTCTACATACCTATAATTATCCATAGTATAGACATTATGATTTATTATATAGTTAACATTATTTAAGCAGTATATTTCCAAAATTAATCAAATTAGCGTTTTCCATTTGAATATTATTTATATATGCATAATGTACATATATATATATATATATATATATGGTATAAAGTCTCAATTTTCAAACGTACCATCATATATTATGTTATCGTGTATTATTATAACATTATATTATATTTGTCTAGAATACAAATCTGTTCTACAATTAATTTCGCTAAGTGATATTAATTCTGCGCACCGACTAAGTTGTTACAAAGTTGTCAAACCACATATATTATAGTATTTGTTTTCATAATTTATTTAGTCCATACACATAATCTATAAATTAGAATAATAATTATACCACACATATAAACATAATATTGAGTGGCAAAAGTTAATCAAACATTGCAATTATTATATTAATAATTTGATATTATAATGAAAAAATATCGATTTAACTATTTTTGCTTATATTATAGACCCTAAAAATACATATTTTCCGCTTAACGGTACTTTATTTGACAAATTTTCCGAAATTCCCAATAATTTTCCAAATATTTGCTTTTTATGTATGTGTGTATTTTTTTCAACACTTTCGGTGACTAAATTGCTCCGATTTGATCACGCAGTACATTAATAAAATAATATACCAAATACGCACCAGCTTTTTTACCCCTGTACTTTTTGTCTTTTCAGTAGCGACCCATTGAGGTAATATGAACTTAAATACTCAAAAGTGAGCTCATCCATTAAGGGCATCTATTGTAATTGGATTATATTATTATTTAAATTTTAAAACTAATAATACCTATGTATGTATATATAATCAAAAAGGGCCCGATACTGGAGTACAGCCATTGTTGTAGATAAGAGGTCGGGAAATTAAGAATACATAAAGTTATTTAATTTATATCTGTGCATAATGATAAACCATTGCTATGGAAAAACTATTCGGAGCGATGTTCAGTAAGACATATTTTTAAATACCGTAATATTTACGATTTTTGTCGAAATTTGATTTTAAAACACTTATGAAAAAAAATTTCAGCAAAAAAGGTCTCTTGTCGTTTTTCAATTGGAGTCATATTTATGCTAGAAAACGTGGTAGGTACTTATTTTAAATCAGGGTGGTCTAACCCGCGGAACTCGAAACCTTTTTTTTTTTACCCCCCCTCAACAATTAAATTAATTTTTTTTTTAATAATTAAAAATTAAAATCACAATATTATTATATTAAAATCGTAATATGTTCATATAAATTTTACATTTTATTGTTGTACGGTGGGAGTTCCCGGGAGTCAGTCATAACGCGATAAGATTCGATGAACAGCGTGAATACTATTTACAATCGTACAATCGCGAGCATTAAATATTTCTCTAAACTAAATCTATTCATTAATAATTAACCAGTCGAGCCCATGTGTCCGTGTGTCCGTGTTATTACCGTTCATACGTTTTATTTTTACCATGTCTGAAAGAAAAAACATAATTTTGCCGATGAAAAAAGAGGATTTTTGTTACCACCACAGGGTGTTCAATTGATATTGAAAAATTGACTCCTGAAAAACAATGCCAATCATCATATTAAGAAATCAATTAATTCTAAATATAAGTAACTTAATCTGTATTGTAATAATTTGTTCGTTATATAAAATAAAATATAAATAGGTAAGAATATATTTTTTTTTATTTTGGTGGCCCTCGGTGTTTTTATGAAAGTGTAAATTAGCCTGCCAAATACAAAAGGTTGGACTAGACTGTTTTAAATAATGAAATAATGAAAAATCGTATTTTTTTCCCTGGTTAATCGTTTTTATTTTAAATACCGTTTCGAAATTAAAAAACGACTTATGTATTTACCAAGTAAATAAAATTGACTTCCAAAAGAGGTGCTACACTTAAACGTCGAAGCAGGTTTTCTAGGATAAAAGTGGTCTACAGTATATAAAGAAAAATAAATTAACATTGTAAAAAATTTAAAAAAAGAAAAAAGTCGTCCGATGATTTTGAAAATTAAAAATTTTTAACCGAATAGCAACAAAATACCCGAACACCGAACACTTTGCCGTATTTTCTAAGTTTTTCCTCGGTTTTCCGTTATCATTAGGAAAACTATACGGAAAATCAAATAACAATTTTCTTACAAACAAGATAAAAATTATTTTTTGAAAATATCCTATTATTGAGTTTTAGACATAGATTTCTGGTAAGCAAATATAATCTTACACATTTTAAATAATGGCATCTTCGCGCCGTAATTTGAAAAAAAAAATCGTATTTTTTAACATTTTTGGTTTTCTTTATATTAATTTAAAAACTACTTTAGATAACAAAAAATAATTTTCTGTTAGTGGCCATATATCAAAAGAAATAAAATCAATTGCTTATCATTATTTAATCGGAGCAATATTCTGATAAGAAACATGATTTGCAAAAATTAAAAACAATAAAATCGGTAACGCCGCAGCGCACTATAAATATTTGCTTATAATTTTCTTTCTGGTTTTTTCCAACTATTATAAAACCCCTTAAAAATAAAAAAAAAACCTTCTTAATTTATTAACAACAAAAAATCTCTTTTTAGAAAAATCATTTTATACTTTGGAGCAAGACAACAGTTATAATAGAAACAGCTGTCCTAGGATAATGGGAATGATTGCATAGCCACTGTTATAAGTAATTTTATGTATATCTGTAAGCAATGATTAATAAATAATTGTTTAAGAAAAGGCGATTCTGAGCGAAGTTCGATTGATAGTATTGTTTTATCAAGAATATATATGTCATAGTATGGTAAAATAATCATATATGCATTATATATTTTCTTTAATAATATTTGTTTAATATTTTACCTATTTTACCGTTTATCTTACGTTTTTTTCGGTTTCTCCATGTTTTTCCTATTTATTATGAAAACAGCTGAAAAAGTCATAAAATGACTACTATCCCAGTCAGATTTTTTTTCAGAATTGTGTTATCATTAGAGCAAAATTTCTGGTAGAAAAATTGTTCACAGATAAAAAAAACCATAGTTGTAGAATCATTACATTCCTCGTTTCACTCATAATTTAAATTGTTTCAATTAGTTTTTAATCAATAAATTGAACGTGTGTATTTTATACCCTGGAGAAATTATTTTCCCAGTGATACCCAACAAATTGCAAATAACTAAAATTCTGAGAAATTAGAGTAGAAGTATATTCGTTTACAGTGTGTCCCGTCTTTTATGTACCTTTAAATATTTTAGCTCGATGACCTTAGATTGAAATGAAGTTTTTAGTTTATTAAAATACTCACTTTGAGATGATTTTCAGGATTTTAACCCTTTCAGCTAATGGGCGTATACGCGCAATACAAATAACTTTTTTTGAATTGTAACCCTTATTTTTGTCACCAGATATGAATAGATCGTTTTTTTTTTCAAGTCATTTTGATTTATTGACCATGGTTCTAAACCATTTTTGGAATCCGATCAGGGCTCACCCACAATCGTTTTTTCAAACAAGACGATTTTTTTATATTTGTTTTTTATTGAAATCTATTGTTTTATACACTGAGTTAAAGTTTATTATTATTTTTCTTCCTTTTCTATATTTAATATTCATATCATATAGGTATGTGTTGCATCAATCCATACACTTATTTATAAAAAAACTTACGGTAGATACCTACAATTTCGATAAAATAATAATATGTTGTATATTAATTTCTATTCGAAAGTCAGAGTCGAAATCGTTTTAGAATACAAAATAAGGAGATGATATTTTCAAAAAAAAGAAATACATATCCATATATATATATATATGTATCAACAAACTACGATTGTAGTTCACTGCAGATTTAATAGAAACCAACAGAAATAATTGCATTATCATAATAATATTATTGTTATGAATAATTTACCGTGTATAATATTATAAATAAAATATGAAAAAAATATAATTTAATGTAATGTTTAATTAATTAATTAGACATAATTAATAGACGATTGTACGAGAAAATAATTAAAAACTTTTGGATCAAATTTATCAAAAAATAAATAATAATAAAAAAAATATGTGTAATTGTAAATAATTTTTATTTTAAAACGGACCGTACTTATTAAAACGTATATCTACGACACAGGGAATCATTTCACGGTAGCGTAAGGAGGGAAAATTGTATCTTTCCATTTGCTTAAAATTCAACAACTATCAGCGTTTATTTAGCAATTCAATCTTGAAATTATATATATTTTAACCAAATTACTAGAAAAAAATTAATCTTGGTGTATTGAATATAATATGGCTTTTTTAGAGTCTGCTTTTAAATTCTCATTTTCACGTTCTGGTATATCAAATTAAAATGTTACAATTTATGCATGGGCCATGACTACTATTTATTACATCCGCTTCCATTGTAAACTCCTAAGCACTCTACTTGTGCAGGACTAAATTAAACTTTCCGTAGGCCACAGGCACTAATTGAAAAACTTGCCTATCATATCATAGGTACATTTAAAAATAATTTTTATCGAGTTTACTTTATAATTTAAATATAATATTTACCGTACCAATTACTGTATATTCGCAAAGACTAGGTGATTATTAATGCATAGCATATAATTTATTTAAAAAAATCTAATAACACAATTAGACACTAATAAACAATCACAATAACAATGAATTCATTATCGCATGATACAGTACGCCGTCAAAACGATCGTATAAGCTAAAATTCAATAATACATTGTACATAAAAATCTAACACGCATCGTTTTTGCAATCGTCGATTCATTTTTTTTTTTATTATATTCTAGATTTTTAATTTTATCACGTTTTTCTCTTAAACATTACGCTATACTATTATTTTAAGATATTTGTAGCAAATTTATTTCTACAGTTTTCGTATAAAAGTATACAGTTAAAACCTCTTATACTACTGTTTAATGTTTTATTCAATTGTATAAGCCTTTAGAGCTTTAGTAATCATCTGTTATGGTCTCCTCTTATATTTTAATATTATTTGTGATTTATGTTTTTCGTAAAATTTCAATTTATATTTTCAACGATTGGAATAATTTTTGTTATTAATGAGTTCAAAACTAATTAATATGTAGGTATGTATTTAATAAACTTATTATCGTATTCTCACGCGAGAAAAATAAAAAAAAATTATATTTTGATGCCCGAGTATTTTTTTATTTATATTGCTATGAGGTTTGTTTAAGGTTTGTTAAGGTTGTTTTTAAGCTTTGTTTTCTAAAGTTTCTAGAGAAAATCATATGTAAAAACTACATATTTTTTTAAATATTAAAATTATGTTTTTTTAACTTTTATTTAAATCGATTGTAATCATTTTATAGCTTATAGTGTAAGAAAACCCAACGATATTATACCTATTTGCAAAAGATAAAAAAATAAAGAATCAAATTAATGAATTACATGTGAAAATGTCTTTACATAAATGGAATTTTGTAAATACAATAGAATAAATTAGGTATGTATTTATTTATTAGCTATAGTTTTATCATTTTTATTCGAGTAAATAAGGATATATATATATTATAGATAATAATAAAGACCTGCTACAAGGGTTGAATAAATTTTGTACGTATTATATTTTTCGTACACATTTTATATAGTAAAAAATTCCAATTAATATAGTTTATTATTATTGTCAAAATTTTAAAAGAAAAATAGATAGGTACACATTTTGTTATAGCATAGTATGTACATTGTATCTATCTACACTATAATAAATTTGGATTATAAATTATATTATTAAGGATTGTGCTATTCGTACTGCACATTTAATCTGGTACTTTAATTAATTAAAAATAATCTAAATTTTATTCTAACCGGTATTAAACGGTATTATTATAAAATAAAATATTACTTACCCATTGGTATTCAAAATAATATCACTGGTATTAGTGGTATCAATAATCACACTATACTCGGTTATAACAAAAATTTAAAAACTTCAGAAATCATTCCTTAAACATTGATTAAACATATCACATATTTTAAAAGTTATTTTTCAAAAAACATTTTGTATTTTTGTAAATTAATATCTATATCTGAATATTTGTATCAACTATAATTTAGTCTTATATTTGTTTAATAATAATTATTGATAATAATATAATATAATTAAATGTGATTTTCAATTTTGTCCTAAAGATAATAATGTATTGCCAAGTACTTTTGTTGTCCCTATCTAATGATTGTTAAAATTATTTTTTTGAAGAATATATTACAATTTATAATGCAAGTCAAACGAATCATTTAAATTTATAAATTAACAATCGCATTACCATTCGATTGCCATCATTGCACTGTTGCATTATCTTTTATGTCAATAATTTTTTTTTGAAAGAATAAATTGTTTTGTATAACCAATATAACAATCTGAGGGTTTTTCTTTATAAATACTTACTTCCGTTTTTAGATTTTGATTAATTTAACCACTTAATTGGTTTTAAACTACTATGGATTTTTCACTATAATTTATAAAAACTGCAGAACATTTTGTGTGTCTTGGGTCACTTTTTCAGTTAGTATAAATTCTCCAAATCTTTCGCACCGGATAAAATATGTGGATTTTTCGTCTGGCGTGTGATGTTATTACTTTACTTGAAACATATTTCTAGATTCTTAATGATTTTTCTGAAATTTCGTTAAAAACTAGCGAAAAAAATATGTCAATGACAGTATATGCAATCTATTATTTATAGGTATGCTCGTAGACATCTGAAATATTGAATTTATCTTAGTGGACACAAAAACATTTTTAATTCGTTTATTTTAATATTTTCGATTTTTCTACGAAAGATTACGCTCGTGGACCTCCTTTTCGCCCCATTTTGACGTACGTGAATTCTGAAAGTGTAGAATTTTCTGGGTAAACATGAAGTGTAGAACAAACAGATTCGTTTATACCGCGTGACGTATTATTATTTTAAATTATTTAATTTTGCGGAACGAGGATAACGTTGCGGTTTCGGCGAGTAAGCCGTGACGGGGACACTCGTCACGGTCCATCCAAATCCCGTCCGTGGTGAAACTTTTAGCGGTGAACCTTTGTCCGGCAATATACGTACTTTTGGTCTCGCATATATCAGCTGTACCGTCCCGACCAGAGTCTACCACTCCAATGGGGGTGAATCCAGTTAATCGTTACGAACGGATAGTTTCGCCTAATAATTAGGTATGATGATTAGGTTATGATGGCGTGGTTGTATACCCGGTCTTTGTATACCCGGGAAACATTTTCGTGGGTGGGAGGAATAATTCAAAGTTGGTCGTGGGTTCTTCGCGAAATAATTTGGATTATCGAGTGTTTGAATTGTGTTGTTATAAATATATAATATAAACATAAGAAGTTCGAAATATCGAGATGGCTAAAAAGAAAATTCGAATTACCGCGAGTTATGTTTACAATATAGTTTGTTTCCAGAGAAAAAGTAGTGGGCCAATTTTCTATAGTTTTTTTAAAAAAAAAACAAATTCACTTTTGAAATTACATACATGTATACAATTTATTATACATAAACAACTGTTTACAAATAAAAATCTACCGAATATGTGAAATATGTCTGGCTCCCTTTTTTGATAATATATTTTATTACTCTAATCTCATAAAGTATATAGCAAAAATCTACTTTTCTAAATTTTACAACTAATTAATCTGATTTGCAATTCATTATTCCGAGGTCCTAATTTTGTATTTAAGAATATCAGTGTTAAAGAAGGAAATACAATTTCAATAGTGATCAGCTGTCTTGCTTTCTTAAAACGAAACGCATTGACGCAAAGCATAATTTTTAAACTTATCTACTTAGCAATTCCATAAAACAAATTCTTCAAAGTGTTTGTATTCTGTAAATTGATCTATTACTTTCAATGTACCTAATTCTACATTAGATGTGGATGCAGCAATGCCAAGTTAGTCAGTCTTTTTTGTCCGATTTGACTTCGTAACCAAGTTATTAATTTAAATAAGCATCAAAGTATAAAGCATTACTATACAGAGTGATTTATTTTATTTAGGCAATTTATAACTTTTTCTTACTTCTCCGGTCTAAGCTTTAAACTGTTATAACTCATAAACGGTAAATCTGATATTAGTGTTATCAAAATATCTAGAAAAATATTCTCTATTAAAATCTGTGTTCAAAAAGGGGGGGAGTTCTATTTGAAAATTAAAATTATGTATTTATTTAAAAAATATAGAGTAGGAGTAAAAAATTATAAATGGTTTTAAAATAAAGCTTGAGTCATTCTATAATAATTAAAAAAAAAAACAAAAATCAAATTCACTTAATAATTCCAGATAATTCCTGGGTCATGATAAAAAAACATCACCCTGTATAGAGCAAATAAAACAGGAAATACAACTTAAAATTTCAATTAATATAATATTTTCCAATTTTTTAACTTAAAACATAAAAATAGTACCCGTTCAACGTCAAAATCATTACCATAATTTTACTCTACTCGGTGTTCACTCCAATGTATCATAAGAACATATCAGTAGGGTAATATTAAAATCAAAAATAATTGAATAAAATAGTGACCCAAGGGAGGGGAGCGATCGCTCTTTTGCTTGCCCCAGAAATATGCCTTTGCTAATCTATATTATTATTTTGTCTTGATCGCGATCACCATTCATCTATCGTTTGAGATTTTGAGTAAATTTGATAGAAATCCCCATTATTTTTAAACTCTCATTTCGAAAAATTATAATCGATAATTTTCAAAAAAGATTCAAAACTCAAAAATGTATTAATTCTTATATACAGCTATCACCTTGTCTTAAATTCGTTCCAAAATAAATATACTTTGAGATATAGGTACTATTATAGATTCACGGAAAACAAGTACATGTATAGTAAAAAAATCATATCAATTTGGTTTTGAATAAATATAATTTTATCAATATTTATTTAAATAAAAAATTCATACATAACTGTTTGAAAATATTATAGTTACATTTGTTAACAAATTTTAGAAAGAAATACAAAAATAATCGATCCCTTTCAAATTTGTTATGAAAACTATTGGTACTTTTCAAAACTCAAACAAAAATCGATCTGTACAATAACCTGGTTATTATAACCACGATGAAATTATTATATTACTGTAGTGTTGTAATGTGTAAATAAATAAAACTGCATACTGTCTTCGTAGATAATTGTTTTCGCGGAAAATACTTCGCGATTTCATTATACAGGGTGTCCCACGAAAATATACTCATTGTAATATCTTCAAAGATAATTTTGATAATCAAACTTTGTTTTTTTTTTTATATTACTCACTAGATAAGGACACATATTTATGCTGCTATTAATTTTTATAATTTAGAAACAACTTAAAAAGTCTTTTTTATTTTGACGTATCAATTTTTTTTTTCATTATAGATTCATGATTTTTAATAATTTTTTATAATTTAGAGAAAAAAAGCTAACAGTCAATTAGTCGTAATAATAACAATCAATTGGCAAATGTGATTACAGACTGCTGTATAATTTATTATAAGTACCTAGGTACTTTTCTTTGAACTTAAAAAAAAAAAATGATTAATCAGGAATTTATGAATTTAATGAAAATAAAAAGATACTTTTCTTTTAAGTTTATTATCAGAACATAAGAAATTAAGTGCAACATAAATATTTGTAGTCTTTATCCCTGTGAGTAATTTAAAAAAAAAAAAAACAGAATTTAATCATCTTTATCATTTCCGGAGATATTTCAATGGGTATATCTTACATACGTGAAATTGGCCGTCCACTATGACCAATATTTTTGAAAATAGTATAAACATTTTGCAAAAAATTTGCAAATGTTTGCAAATCGGTTTTTAGTATTCGCAAATTATTTTCCTGCCCTGTATTAAAAAGACAAGCTAATTCCAACTTTTGCAATTAATTTTAAAATAATAAAATAATAAAATACACAGCACTTATAAACACGGAAGATTGATGGTAGTTTAAAATCGAAATTATAATTAAGCTTGCGATTATCTGAAAATGAATCGCAAAATTTGTAATTATCTTGTTTTTTATTACCAGGCAGGGAAATGATTTGCAAATTTTGAAAACCGATTTGCAAATAATTGAAAATTATTTTTAAAATGTTGATACCATTTTTAATGAAATTGGTCACGGTGGGGGGCCAACTTCACGCACGTGTATTTCTTCGTCGAACATCCTATAATATACTATAATTTTAGTTTTGTTAGCAATTTAGCACGATAGTTGTATTTGTGTTTATAAGTACAATAATAATATATGCATTACTTCCGTTCTATGAATTATTATACGATGATGTAAATAGCCATATAGCTAATATATCATTAAGTCATCTCAGTTATATTCGTATAAGTATAGAATGTACCCAAAATGCAATCGATTGGAACACGATGAAATGTATATTATAATATAAGCACCTGTTACTCTCAAGAGGCTCAACAGGTATCTGGTTCACGTAAGGACTTTATGCGAATGCCTACTTATGTATGGGCAATTTCTAAAACGATGTACACGATGATTTAAATATAATAGAACACTAATTAATTAACTATATATATATTAAGATACAAATCATATTATTTAGTATATGGTATAACGTCCGACATGTTAATGATCGACCAATAATATACTGATCGTTTTATTACCGCGAACCAACGATTATCACAAAGATAATAAAGACATTAATAGGCCACGCTTATCTTGAATATATTTGAGGGTACGTGGTTTCGGAAGGAAAGTTCAAATAGAGGCAATTGAAGCCTTCTTGTCATTTAAATATAAAGAAAAACCGCCAGAATAATGTACAGTCTAAAAATTAAATTGCATTACATATCAATGATAATACATGTCTATATTATGATTCACTTTTTTTTTTTTTACATAATTTATATTAATTATATTATAATTATTGTTATCGTATACATGATTGGTCGTAAAATAAAAAATGAAACCTTAAAATTGTATCAATAGAAATGACGATGGTGACGAATAACTAATCCGTGTCTTAATTTTTTATTCATTATCTATGTATATTTTAATAATGATTTTTCTAGAAATTTTGACAGGCATAACATTAATATCAGGTTTATTATTTATAAGTTATAACAATTTAAAGTTTAAACCGGAAGCGTAGGGAAAAGTTATTAATTTATCATTTCCAAATAGATAAATTGAGTATCGATTTTCTTTTTCATACTACTCCGAGCTAAACTTTTGATTGTTATTTCTCATAAATGGCAAATCTAACCATATCAAAATTGTATACCTTGTTTTTTTATAAGTATTTATAAGTACAAATTAAGTAGATATTTTAAAATCATGGGGAAATCGTAATAGTATTAGGTCATTGAATTTTTAAAGGAAAGAAGAAACAAGGTTGGGGTAAAGATAATTATGAAAATGTTAAAGTATGGATAGACTCATGTCAACGGTAGGGAGAATTCGATTTTTTTTTTTCTTTAATGTGAACAAATCCTAGATGCATCACCTCATCCCTTCGTCTCAGTCAAATTTACCGGAAAAATTGTGTAGACAATAAAACCATTGCAATCCTTAAGACCGCCATAAATACGAACATGATATTACATACGAGTGTATCCGTATACAGACAAATAAGCTAAAGAGTCTTAGCGAAATTATCTTTTTCCGTTGTAATCTGCTAGTATCTACTCTACTGGACCGATATCATCGTAATTTCGACTGTATAATATTATATACAGGAGACCACCGCCGTATATTAACTAAGTTATCTATATACTCATATATAATTTATATATTATATAGAAAGAATACCGCATGACGACGAAACGAAATACCCTACCTAATAAAATATAATAATAATATTGTTATCGAAAGAAATGAAATGACGCGCGCGGATTTCGTTCCCGGGAGACTTGTTTTAAATTTATTTTTCCCGTTGTCACGCGTACCTACATCATGTACTATCCCGGTTAAAAAGCGCATAATAATTTAAATCGTTCTGTGTAGTAGTCCTTATATAATAATAATTATAATTATAATATGATGTAAATAATTATTATATTACCTAATGGAATGTAATTTGTTTGCGTGAACTTTGCGTATATTATCAACCGTTATTTAAAAAAAGCTCATGCTGCTTATGGGTGTTTCTCGTAAATTGTTCTTAGTTTACTCATAAAAAACAAGTTGGACTTAATGTAAGAGTTTTTGTTTTTTTTTTAAATTTGGTACGTATTTTTTTATTAACGTTATTTGAAGTCCAAAGTTTAACGAAGATCGTATGAATAACCGCATTTAAAAACATATGTTTAACTAAACTACGCTCAGAATCGTCTATCGTTAGTGAATACAAACTAATTCTATATGTGTTATCTATACCTTTCAAACTTCTCAGCTACAACAGTGGCACACACGTCAGCAATATTAGGTTACTCGTCTTTTTTTTTTTTATAAGTAATATCAACCAGTTTTACATTAAGACTCGACACGACATCGCGGATTATGCTGAACTGCAGTAATAACTATATAATATAAAATATACAAGGTGATTCATTAAGTATGATCACCCCATTTTTTTTTTTGTTGAATTTTGATAAATTAAAATTTTGATTTTTGAAATTTTTATTTATAGTTAAAGCCGATATTTTCACAACATTTAAGGAGTATCCTGTGGAGATACCAAATTTAAATAGACGGAATATTAGTTTAAATAAATGTTGGTGTTGACATTGATTTCCGTCGACCTGTTAGCGAGATATTTCACTTTTAAGTTTAAGTAGGGGGAGAGTAGTGGAGCACTATTGAAACGCCGTGCGCTGTGCCATCACACAAATGATACTCCACTACTCTCCTTCTACATTAACTTAAAAGTCGAATATTTCGTCAACAGTTTAATGGAAATTAAACATTTTGATATCGACATTTATTTAAAGTAAATATTCCGTCTGTTTATGTAATTTTTAATATAGGTTAAGGTTCTCATTTGAAAAATCAAATTTGGTATCATCATAGGATACTCCTTAAATGCCGTGAAAAATTTGAGTATTCGAAAATATTGTCTTTAACTACACTTCCAAATTCCAAAAACCAGAATTTGAATAAATGCAAAATTTAACCAAACAAATAGGGTGACCTCACTTAGTGAATCATCCTGTATATTATAGTCTCGTACTAAATTTATTTTCAATTTATCTATAGAGTGTATATTAAATGGGCAAAATTCATTAATCTATATATTACAATATATTAAATCGTTATTCGTTTTGAGCTTGCTAGAGTAATCCCGCAGAAGGGATTATCACTTAACCATTTTTAAACGTTCGCCGGCTGCGCGTTTGACGGGTAGAGCTATTTTGAATTGAATCGTGGAAACGAATAACAAATGTCAAAAATAGCGTAGAACACACAAATGCATACACAAAAAAAAAATCATGAGTGAGTTATTGTGGTAGGCCAAAAATTGAGAAAGTAATGGGATAGATAGGTGCAAACGAAAACCGATTCTGACTGAAGTTCAATTGAAGAATTTGGAAGATCATGATTTGATAAATTTAAATTTAATAGTGTATATGTATCAGTTTTTTAATAACAGAAATAATTCCAATTGTTCGTGTTTTAACGTTTTTTTAATGTTTTTTTAACGAATTTTAACAGTTTTTTAAGTTTTTTAAGTTTAAAATTGAAATCTTGTTTAAAATAAATTACTTTTGTATCCTCATAAAGCTAAAAAAAAGACTGATATACTTCGCACGATTGGTGGTGGTCCACTGTTGTAGATGAAAAGTTTGGAAGGTAGGATATAGAAGGGAATTTAATGTATACTATCTGTAAGTAAAGATTAATTATTTCTAACGAAAAACAATTCTAAGCGGAGCTCGGTTATTAGTATTGCTTTTTCAACAATATATATATGTCATATTATAGTAAAATAAATATATATTAAAACAATTTGTATGGATTAGTAACTAGATTTGTTCTGCATAATTATTTACTAAAACGATTTTCGTCAAAATATGATATTAAAATTCTCATAAAAAATATACATTACATCAAATTTAATTTTTTATTGTTTTGACCACAAAGTACTTCCTATTGAATTTTCAAATATTTCTGTTTAGTTTAATAATTTTATCCGCAGATACCTACCAAATAAAAATTACTCACAATATTAAAATGTCTATAGATATGAACATAAAGTGTTAATATTTTAATAAGTATAAATAAAAATTATTAATAATAAAACTTCAAGGAAAATCAAAAAGTTAAACTCATTAATGCACGAACTGTAGATAAAATAACTTACCTACCAGAAAGCTCGTATAGTTTTTAATTTGATTTCTGGTTAGTAGGTTACACAAAAAAAAAAAAAACAGATCATTGCAAAACCAAATCTGTTCGATTTTACAACGCATTATAAAAAAAAAAAGTTGTTTTTGCGATCGGTTAAACGACTATGGCTATCTCGCCCGACTCTTCTCCTCGATCTATCAATGCCACTTTGAGGTCTTTGTAAGTTGTTTTTCTTTCTATATTATATTATTAGGTTCTATATACCTATATTATTATCTTCTTCTGATCTATTTAATAAACGAGGAGAGTTCTTAGTCGTGTACCTACGTATAATATTATTATATGCACTCGTATTATTATACCTACAATATTATAAATATTATAACCTATCGGCGAAAGTTTGGATTTACATAGATACCTACTATACATTATAATTTTTGCTGAAGGGTACAACGGTTTGTATCCATAATATTATAATAATAAAATATATACCTATAACCTATATTATGTTACAAAACAGGGAAAACCGGATAAATTCACTGTATTCTATTCCTCCTGCAGTAACAATCCAAGTATATGTACATCAATAATTAATTGCAATTACAACATCAGATTACATTATACAAAATAAAACTTGTATACTCCAGTATCATATTATCGTTTGTGATTTTTATTTATTATTGATTTTTGCAAGAAAATAAATCTTACCTAAATAAATCTTATAGGTAATATCGGCTATATAGGTCTTACGTATATAGTATACATACCTGTTACACACAAAAATGTTATACAATGTTTTAACTTTCACCGATAACATTTCTATCTAAGTAAGTACATATACACATTATACAATGGTAGATATATATTTTTTTTTAACAGCTTTTTAACTTTACTAGATACATATAGTTAATATTATATTTTGTTGTCCATTGTACAACTTAAATACACCGGTATTTAGTTTCCGTGGAAACACGATGCGTCGTACAAACACTTAAATTTGTATAGCTGATTGTGCATCCGGTTAGTGGTTTAAGTATTAACGGATCGAATGACTGAGTACTGAAATATTTGAGTATGCTTTCAAATATTAAATCGCTTGAAAAAAAGTATCGAGTAGAATAAAAACATTACAGTAGTAAATATTGCAGAAAACAGAATAATTTGTAGGGAAAAAAGAAGAATTGACTTTTGTAACCTAGTGGAATTAACATATTTTTTTGCTTTACAACTAAAAGTATAAATTAATTAAAATATATTTCTTTTTAACTTTCAATTAAAATTTATCGATTATACTAATTTGCCCACATTTTTTGATGTTTAGTTAAACTTTGAACACTACTCGTATACCCTACCATACGATAGTAATGATTTATCTATGGAAAACTGTTTCGTCACTTTTTTAACGGTGTATTTATTACGTTATCTTATAGTTTATTTTATTCTATAATATATGTTTTTCTTACGAAAATTAATTTATTATTTTTGCAATGAGTTTATACGATTTATACTTTACATGATTTAAGCACATAACTTACAAATATAATTTCCGTGGGCTTCCGTTTAATATTACATTTTCCATTCCGTAAATAATAAAAAATAATAATAAAAAACTACAACATATTTAACATTTTAAGTATTTATATATTGAGAATTTTCCCTAAGTGCATTTATTTTTATTTTACAACAACATCGTTGTATATTATTTCTCAATTGAAAATAATAAAAAAGAAAGAATGATTCTGGGGACGAGTGTGTCACTGTTGTAGTTTGGAAATTGGAAATGTAAGACACGAAATATTATTTATTAGAACATATACGTGTAACAACATGGTTATACATGTTTTGAAAAGCTGTAATATTCGCAATTTTCGTCAAAGTTTGATATTAAAACTCTTACAAAAAAATGTATTACATTACTCACTTTTTTTTTTTTTACTATTGTTTATGACTTATAATGACACCTCCTATTAAATTTGCATACATTTTTGGTTGGTTAAACAATTTTATTTACAAAGTACCTATATCAAATAAAAATTAAAAAACACGCAAGTATAAAATGTATAAATAACTCAATAATCACCATAATGTTTTGAAAATTTTACCACGTCTAGAAAAAGCAAATATAAGATTTCTGTCAACATTGCAATTCCTTACGAATATTTATAGCTGAATTACAACAAAAAATCAAACTAAAAATAAGAAAAGCATTATTTTTGTACATTTTCTGTTTTTCAGTTTTCCTCAATTATTTAAAGAATTACAAAAGAAAACTAAAAACCAACTTTCTTGTCTAACTAGATTGTAAATGCAAAAAAAAAGTTTTCTTGTTTTTTTTCTGTAGGAGCTATGTTTGTAATAAAAAAACATAAAAAGTACAAATTTAAAATAATGAAATCTGTAATACTGTAGCAGCGTGACATAAATGTTTGCCGATTTTTCGACAATTTGCTTTCGGTTTTTCTCAATTAATATGAAAACTCATCAGAAAATCAAAAAGTGTTTTCTTCAATGCATCAACTAGATACAATTTTCTTTTTCGTTTTTTTAGATATATATATAGATACTCGGTGGATATCATTTTCAGACAAAACAGAAATGCTTGCAAATTTAAAAGGAGGTTCATTAAAAGTCGTACTTAGTAGAAAAAAAAATTAGTGTAATATATAGCATTTTATTTTATTTATTTCTATAAAAGTATTGAAATCAAATTCTAACGAAAATCGTAAATATTATATAGCCTTTCAAAATATGTCTAATCGAACTTTGCTCCGAATAGTTTTTTGTTGTGGTTTATTGTTGGTTACAGGTATTTTATGTATTCCACCTTTCTGACTACCCACCTACAACCCGTCCCCAGTATGAGCCCTTTTAGTTTTAGTTAATTTTTCCGCTGTATCCTACCCGTCGTGGTTTCTCGTTACGAAACGATTATTTTCAATTAAGTTTCGATATGAGCTTGTGGAGAAATTTTAAATTTATAACAGCAAAACAATATGATATTTCCTCTCGCATACAATAAAACACATTCAATTTGAATTGACCAACCAGAATCGACCTAGTACTGAAACGGATCTCAAAAAGCTAAATATACCTTTGATTTTCAGAGTCGTGTAATATATGTACATCATATGTACATTGTACATCTACTCCATCTATATAAAGGTACTTTTAAGTAACAAGAGGGAAAAACGAATGCCTACATGATTAGTGAGTCGAATATTTTAATGTACTGCTGTATGATGGGGGGAACGTTTTATAATATTATATAATCTAAGTATGTTAATTTGGCGTACGTAAAATGGCGTACGAAAGTCATCATGTTTGTGTAGTGGAAAACAATCGACGTTCGTGTATGCAAATTTGCTATCAGTTTTAGTATAGGTACCTATCTAAAACGATATTATAATTTTTACTTTTAGTCCTGAGGCATAAATATGATTTTAATAACACCTACGTTTTTATACTGGTATTATCGTATTATAATATGCGTAGTTAGCCTACTTTTTTTTTAAATCGCGTATGGAATTCGAATTTAATCATATCACGTGTTATGTTACATAATTTCAATATAAACACATATTGTGTTCATAATAATATTTTAATCAGTATATAGGGACATACCTAATTTTTATACGCGGTTTTTCCTTATTATAGATGCGTCAACATATTTTATTTTTATTTTTACATGTCACTGATGTTTTTCGGGATAATCGAACATGTATTTATCGATTTCATACCACAAACACAACGAAAAACCATTTTTTCCCCCGTTCATATACGAATTAGGTAAATTATTATTTTAAAAACCGAGGCTTATAACAAGCAATACATAACAGCAAATCTACCCTTGTACATAGGACATAGGTAAAAGGTATACTAGTTCAAATGTTCCAAAATGATTTATTCGACATTTATTCGATTTATTCGACGAGAAATTCACCGTTGTCTCTTGTATTATTATCTTAACCTTTTATAAATACAACAAATATATATATAAGTATAATTTCGAAAATGAATAATAATAATAATTTGAAAATAGCGTTATATCTATAGCTACACACTTTTTAAATAAAACATTAGAGGTCTTCTTTTTATAGATCTTGAGTTCCTGTGTATCTCCCAAAACGTAATCTTCTAACGTTAATACTCGCCAAATATACATTTGCATAATATAATATTTACACCTTACTAATTTAAATCGCATAATTTTTTAATCTTCTACATTGTTTCAGACTGGAACATGGATATATATATATATATATATTTTTTAGTAAGTGTATGCTACATTGTTTTGCCTGTTGTTTTATTTCCCATGAAAAATACATTATCTCTCGTTTATAATAATGATAAATAATAATGTATGTTTTTTTTTTCAATAAGATATTAGATTTGTCTTTTTCGTTTCATAAAAAATAAATTGATTAAATTACGTAATATACAAACCTTCTAGTTGTTACATAAGTTCATTAATTTTCTATAATATAAACAACTTTTGTAATCATAGTAAAATTATAATTACAATAATTGTAATAGTTCATTTTTAATTTATATACCAGTTTGCCTACCTTAATAGTACTATGTATCATGCCTTTTTGATTTTGTTTATAATTCAACAAATTAGAAGAAGATTTTTTTTTCTTTTTCGGATATTCAGAAGTGAATCTGCAAAATATTGAATAATAATTTATATCATATTTAAGTCAGAGAAACTGCTTAATAGTTATATAATCACGGGATATTTTCAGATGTTAAATCTACTATTATAATAGTAAATAATAAAAATTAATTTTAACAAAAATGCGTCCTAGGATAATAGGGACTGGTGCAGCCACTGTTATAGGTAATTTAATGTATACCTGTAAGCAATGATAAACCATTGCTTACGAAAAAACGTTTCTGACCGGAGTTCAGTTGATAGTGCTGCTTTTTTAACAATATATTCCATAGCATAGTAAAATAATTAAATATGCTTTATGTATTTTCTTTCATAATTAATTAATGTTGTACCGATTTCTTCGGTTTTCCTACGTTTTTTCCGGTTTTCTCATGTTTTTCCCAGTTTTATACATTTACTGAGAAAACTCCAGAGAAAATCGAAGAACGACTTCTTTAAAGTACTTATTATCTATTAAAAGTTGGAGCAAAATTGCTGGAAGAAAAGTCGTCCATAGATAAAAAAAAAATATATCTTTATAAAACCATAAGCTTCTTTGCTTCACTCAGAATCGAATACTTGTCTATTTAACTATACTACGTTACTATACCACTATTCCACTTCGTGGATTTTAAAAAAATATTTCGACTGAGTACAAGGCATTAAAATTACAATAAGTAGTTCGGGTGTTATGTAATTCTTTTTCTTTTTCTTTTCACTATTAATGACTAACTTAAAACTTTAATAATTCAAGATAAGTATAAAATTAAAAACATCCAGCAAATTTTTCGAGTAAAAATATAATATTATTAAATGACAATGCTCATTAAACACTTAACACTTTACATGCATATATTAGTTTTATAAATCTTCTTATTAAAAACTCGGAACACCATTGATCAAAAAAAGAAAAAACACAACGCCCGTGAAATGGCTATAATCATACTTAAACTGTATAATGAATGATTTGAATAATGAAAACTACACAAACAGATTTGCGTCACAAATTCTTCTTTAAACAACGTCGCTGCTAACATGGAAAAAAAACCAACACTAACAACCTCCTAGCCATAAAACCCTCGAGATTGCCACAGTTTGGGAAATCGGATATCTCTGATTTGTTTGCTCATTCGTACACACAAATTTTAGCGGATCTCGATGCAAAGGAAATATTGTTATAGAAAATATTTATTTTTTCAAGAAATGCATCACTTCGTTGACTTATTCCTGAATTTAGATTAAATTTAGTAAATTGTACCAACATGTTGGTACAAATTTTCTGTAAACAATGTTAACAGCCAAATTAAATAATAATAAACCAAACATATATTCTAATATACCTGAGTATTGAAGTAGTGTAAGCTCCTAACGAATTAAATTTATATATAAATATAAACTGTTGTATGATTGTAAATTGATTTTACAATATTATGTTGTTAACTGTTATGCTTTCACGGCTTCAGTTTTCCTCTATTTGTCATTCTTGGACTCTCGATTATGTGATCAATAGCTTCAGTTATTTACCCAGTTATGGGCACAACAAACTTAAACTCTTATAGATTCGTTCTTATGCGATCCATCCTTGTGATATCAGATAGACAACCTTCGTAAAATTTTCATCTCATTTTCGCCAATGTCAACAGAGCATCTTAATATATATACAAATGTAAAACGTACAAATTTAAAATAATGAAATCGTGCCGAAAATATTTCCGTTTTTCGATAATTATTTTCCGGTTTTTCCCAATTATTATGAAAATCAAATGATGTTTTATCTGATGTACAAATTAGAAAAAATTTCCTTCTCAAAAAAGTGCATAGGAGCAAGATTTTTAGTAGAAAAGTTTCTCACGGACATAACAAAAAAAAGACAGACGGACATACTTCGCACGTGGGATGACCACTACTATAGGTGAAAAGTTGGAGAAGGTAGTCGGGAAATTTACTGTGTATCAATCGATTAACCATTGCTAATGAAAAACGATTCTGAGTAGAGTTCGGTTAATAGTGTTGCTTTCATTAACTTAAATTTATACGCTTTATTTTTTCTACCAGAAATATTACTCCAATAGAAAAATAACAAGAGATCAATCCTGTCCAATATAGTATACAGTCACTGATAGAGAAATCTTTTTTTTTTTTTATCTCAAGTATTTTTCACAATTGGGAAAAACCAAAAAATACAATTTTTTTCAGATCACGGTGCAAAGATTTATGTACGTTTAAAAATATCCTCCAATTCTCGTCATAATTGCTGTGTTATCAAGAGGACAAGAACTGCAGGATTTTGAGCAGCATCATTTTTAAGCTTTTGAGCTAAAAAAAAACATATATTTTATTATACAATATACTACTCGTGTTCTTATTATAGTACAGTAAACAGTGAATTACGTTTCAACTTTCAAATATTAAAATATTATTTTATTATTACCATAGGTAATTTGAATGGCTGGTGCAAATTGGCGATGGACATGTTTTTTTTTTTTTTAAATTAATGATGTAAACGTATAGAAATGTGACGCTTTTCATTTTTTTTTTTTTTCGAGGACTGTAAAAAACTTCCTGCTATTTCATCTTTTCAAGATTATCGTGATTATCTATCAGACTTTATGTTTCTCATTTAAATTAACAATACATAATAATACTAAGAAATACGGATAACTATACAAAACAAAACATCTCACTTTTCAATTTTATATTTATATATACGAAGCTGCGTTCGTATCAGATCGTTTTCAATATTAAAATGGTATAGTTCTCTTCCGCATTATTATCTGTATATACTAAAACCAAAATTGTTTTTTGAAGTAAATTGTTGGGTAAGATACTCAGTAAATTCATTTGGAAATGACGGTATAAATAATGTTTCGGTGACGTAGGTACAAGACTGCATTATTATCTTACAGATTAAGGATTCGGTTTGTGTTTAGTTTTCTTAAAATGAAACAATTGAAGAATCTGCAGTTCGCACTGTAATTTATAGCGTCTCTGTTTGATTTGCCTTCAATTGTGATGTTTTGTAGATTTGAACTACAGTTATTAATATTTTAGATGTCAAAAAAAGGGAAGTTATTTTCTAGATTGTGCATTTTTCGCGTAATGTCGACAAATGAGGGAATTCAATTTTATTAGCATACAAATATTAACAATTAGATATACTTACACTTGCAAAATATTTAAATCTATTTATTTGCGTGAATAAATATATTTTACAACCTGGACGACAGTATAAGCCAAGTATTTAAATTCAATACCAAGTAATTTTAGTGATAAAAAATTTTTCAAATAAAAACTTTCTTAGGTACTAATGAAATCTAAAACACCAAAAACAAAAATAAAAATACAGATACAAAAAAAAAAACACACATCATTGTAAAACCAATACATTCCTCGCTACATTCAGAATTTAAAAAAAGTGTATAGGTATATAAAGTATACCATCAAATTAGGGTCTCATTCCCACTAAGTTAAATACATCACTGGCTTAAAACATTTTTTCAAAACTACAAAAATTCAATTCAAAGACAAGTATTACCTTTATATCATTTACATAGTCATTGAAATCGTTGAATAGAATTTCGCGATTTTAGTGTTTTCTTTCGAGTTAACGGTACATTTCACTCTGTTTAACATGTAAATAAGACACTTTTAATCAGTCATATCACCATAAGACTGTAAATTTATAGCAAAGCAGCTTTTCTAACTTATTGTGTAAGACTATTTTAGCTTTCGTATAAAGTATAAAAGTTCGAATTATTATATAATGATGTATAAACAACAACTACCGATTTGACAATTTTATTATAGTGTAGTGAAGAATGTATTGGTATTGATAATGTATTTACTAAGAAGTTTATTTTATTTTTATTTTTTTACACTGTATATAAAATTCTACCAGAAATCTTGCTCAAATATTTATGCGTGGCAAAATTTTTGATAGGGAATTATGTCCAGATGATACTTTTGGGAGGTCATTTTTTGATTTTTCATGCAATTTTTACAATATCTAGGAAAAACCAGAATAAAACGTAATAAAAACAGGGAATTCACGAAAATAGTGCTTTTATTATTTTTCAATTTTGTTGTGATTCAGTTAAAAAAATTCGTAGAGACTCTATGGACTTAAAATTTGGACAGGAAACTTATATTTGCCTTTTTACCACGTCTAAATTGTTAGACTTGAACAAAAATGCTTCAAAATTTAACAAGAGGTTCATTAAGTTTTAATTTGTGGTAAAATAAAAATTGAATTCAATGTAGTAATTTTTTTTTAAAAAAAGAATTTTAATATGAAGTTCAGACGAAAATTGTTTAAGTGAAAAATTATGTGGAACAAATCTTATTTTTCAATTTTTTTTTTTTTGACAATATGTATATTGCCGATTTAAGAAGGATGGTGAAGTCAAAATTAAGCGGACAGACAAGTTTCGAAATTATAGCTTTATGAAGTTTTGATATTGTGCGGATAATATATGTTATGTTAAATAACTCTGTGTTGCCCTTCTTAAAGCATATTTGTCGTAATCTAATAGTATTTAAGCCTATTATCATCCTAGGGGTTCCGAGTTCAACTAAGTGTCGAAAAAAAATTTCGCATTTTTTTTCTTTTTTACCTAAACAAGGAAAAAACAAATACCTTTCGGATGTACCTAAAGACCTAAGCCATTGCTCCCTTGGACTATTTTAATCGCAAAATACTCCTCGATTTGTTTTGAAACTCCCAGAAATCTTGCTCTGTTGTATCAAGTGTAGCTTATTTTCTGAAAGAAAATTTTATCTCCATGATAATTTAGGGAAGTCATTTTTTGATTTTTCAAGCAGTTTTTATAATATCTGGGAAAACCCGGGATAAAATGTCGGAAAAACAGAAAATGTACGAAATGTAGGTAATAGTAAAAAAAATATTATGGCCTTTTTTTTTGTTCAGAACTTTTCTACCAGCAAGTTTCAACGATTTAAAATGATAGCACTATTTCTGAAAGGAAATCTGACTGGGAAAGTACTTTAGAGAGGTAATTTTTCGTTTTTCCCAGGAGTATGCTCAACAAATATTAAACAATATTAAAAAAATATTATTAAAGAAAATATTTAATGCCTATTTAATTATTTTACAATAATATGAAAAACATAGTAAAATAAACAAACTAAAATATAGTAAAACATTACTATCTACTGAACTGCGCTCAGAATTTACTTTCGTTAGCAATGGTTTATCGTTGCTTACAGATATATATTGAATTACCTATGACAGTGGCTGCACCCGTTTCCATTATCCTTGGATGTCTTTTTTATAATGGATTTTGTGGTATTTTCAACAATTACTCGGGTCATGACCCGAGTATTCATATATACATACATACATACATGGTCTTTGGTGAAAAATCTGTTTCGGTAGTAATTGCGGACTTGGATGTCAGACGATTCGCCGTGTTAGCGCAACCGTTGTCTTCGCGATCAACAAAAAAAAAAAATCCAAACGGGAAAATGAATTTACTTATGGACTATATAGCCATCACAGATAGGTATTTTATTATCTTACTCGTTCCACCTACACTCGCAGATAATAGGCGTGCAAAGAGTTGTGATGCGAAAAATACGACGAGGATTTCGTAATTCGAATACCCACAGCCGTATAATATAATATATTATGGGATTATATTATTATAATAATAATAATAATGTGTAGGTATTAGGTACAGTTTGTTCTTTGAATGACAATCCGCTGACCGTCGGGGAATACGATTATTATTTTTTGCGCTTTATATTTTTACAGTTACTGTCATAAAATCGGGAACCCTGGCTCCCGATTCGTCCATACCCCCGGGACGCAGTGAACATGACGCGTTATTTTCAAACATGAGACGTATCATGATGATTTTCTCTCCGGACTCTTAGTAGGGTGAAGGAGTAATTTAATTAAAAATGAGTCGATGGCAAAATAAGCCATTAACTTTACCCTGTATTCGAATAATGTGTATACTATATGTTAGATAATATTTAATTTTACTCACTAGGAATAATATATAAATCAATAGCTAAAGTATGATACTAAGTAAAGTTTTGTTTTAAAAATACATGGTTTTTACGATTTTCGTCGAAATTCGAACTTAATATATTTTTTAAAAAAAACTACGACATTACATTCAACTTTTTATTTTTTGGACCATTTATTTATAAATTTCGTGTAAAATGTTTAAGTATTTTTGCTTTGTTATAAAAATTTTGTTCGCATAACCACCACCAAAAAAAAAAAATCTTCAAAAATATCAAATGCCTAGAAATAGATCAAAAATAGTCAGAATTTTTTTCGAAATGTGATCGTGCTTATAAAAAAACTATCAAAAAAATAATGCAAGTATTTTGTGTAAATTCTGTAGAGACTGTGTCTCAACGTATTATTTTAAACCAGATTACAAAAAAAAAAAAATCGAAAAAATGAAATATTTATTGCCATAAGCCCATAAATTATAATATTCGAGTGAGTATGTCCTTATTTTACTGATGTTCCAACGAACAATTTGTTAAAGTTATTCTAAATGTCGATCGCGGTTGAGAAATAATTGCTTGAAATAAATATAACATATTTTTATATTCTCACGTGTAGAAAACTAAAAAATGCAAAAGATTATATGCGGGTGAATAAGATACTCGTTTTTATAGATTATAATATATATACATTATATAAGTGTACAAATTATTATGGTCATAAATTTGTTTGTTCTCACGACAATATTTACAAAAAAAAAAACCAACACAATTATTAATTATCCGTTAGATTATGTACACAAGTTTTTTTTTTAAATATAATTTGTTTTTACTCGTAATTAAATCAAAAAATTTAATTTTGAGGGTAAAATTATTTTCAACGAGTTTGCAGGACAAATAATTTGTTTGTGCACGAGGCTCGATTGAAGTAAAATTCAATGTACCCGGATTTGACAAAATTTAATAACGCCTTTATGTATTTATTATCCAGCGCAACGGTAGTGGCACGAAGTTAAATAAAAAAAAAATAGCGTAGTAGCCACTAAAGTATAGTAAAAGGAAACCGAGTTGTACCATTGAAAACCCATGCTTATTTGTGTTGATCCATCGGTTAATTATACAGGTTACATGGCTTAACATATAAGGTATCAATCAATCAGAAATATTGTGCAAATGGAAACAGAGGAACTCGTTTGCAGATTAGTTAGATGGATTAAAAATTACAACCAAAAATGTTCAAGTATTTTTAAGTCCAATTTTTCGTATTTGACGAAAACATCGTAAAATATGCTACTTTCATTGCTGTGGCGACGACGGCGTAAAATATAATTGTCTCCCGATCTGCCGCTTATCCATCCCACTACTTTCGTTGGTGTAGCTACGATGACGCCGGACCCTCTGTTATTAGGTTTATATTTAACGATCAGTTTCGAATTCAAAATTTATCTGCAGGTTTAACAAAGTAAAGAAAAAAACCAGCGACTTTTTTTTTTTATACAAAATAGCTGATATCACACCAAAAATACTTCGTTAAGTAACCACTATAGTAAATTTCGTAAATAAATTAATAATTTTATTTATAAACAATCAGTAGTCAAAGTGGCTAAAAATAAGTCGAGGGATACCTAAACTTTTATACTATTCTAATAGTATGGCTTATACACGTGGAGGTGATTGGAGGTGGAGATGAGTTGAACCCTATAGCCCTTATTATTTGTATAATATAATTTTATATATAGTATATAGTTTTTCAGTTTAATGCTTTATTTGTTGGTGTATTTAAATTTGTATATATATTTGTAATTGTAAATTTAATTATATTTTTATTGAAAAACGTAAAACATATTTACATAAATATATAATTTATGCGCATACAGCTTATCAATAGATTCTAACAGTATGCATTATATCATTATACAGTAGGTATAAAACAAATAAAAAAACTTAACTATTTATACATTAGTCATTACTATAGTCTATAGACTATGATGACATATTATGATATAAAATCACCAAAATCAATAATCTTTGTATATAACTATAAGGAGGATGTATTAGTTTGGAAAAAACTAGTGGAGAGATGAAAAATTTAGATTATATTAAGTGGTGGGATATCATCCCCCATATCCCCCCCCCACTTCGACCATCGTAAATAATATGTTGACTAAGTATTTAACTTTACAATTGATCTTATTTGTCGTTATAGGTATTTGTAATAAAATAAAATAGCACTTTACTAAATTTTCATATTATATCACGTCTTTTAAAGATTTAATCATTAATAAATTTAATTTTTTTTAACTTAGCTTTTTTTACATGAAGTTATAACGAAATGTTTTTAGTGTGATATTAAATACAGCACATTTGTTCCTATAAACTTTCCTGTAGTGAAATTGTACACACGCATACATATAATATTCAGTATCGGTATAATCAAAGTGTACACAAATAATGAAACCTGGACATTTTTAGGAGGTTTTCTGTGTCCGAATGGACAATCAGTAAATTATATTTGGACACTCAGTAAATTATATTTGGACACTCAGTTATGTCTATTGGACACCCAGCAGAGTACGATTTTGTTTACTGTCAGTGGTTTATTTGAAAAGAAAAATAGTAAAGGTACTCAGCTACTTTAAAAAAGTATAAGCACCCTTAGCATTTTAATATTCCATGCGCTACAGTGTAAGGCTTCGGTCCCACATCACCTTTTACAGTCATTTTAAGAAGCATCAATCTAATAAATATAATTAAATACGTATTATAACAAAATATAAATAGATCAGCATCATGGTTTATTTTTTTTTTTTAAGAAATATGACATAAGAACCCTGAAAATTTTTTTATTTCTCCATGCGTTGTAGAATTGTCAATCATAAAAACCAACTACTAAAGAGTAAAACTTACCGAATCCTAACTACTATTAAACAAAATATTAACCGGCGCGTGACGTCATCATACATGTCAGAACTCAGAAGATTGATAATGGGCATGACAAATTTTTATCATGAGTACATAAAACACATTCCTCGTTTCCTCTGAAATAAGAAAATAGCATGTTGTTCAATGGTAAAACTATAATAGGTCAGTAATTACTGGTTATCTGGATTTATAAATAATGAATGGTTATTAGTGATAGCTACTCATCAGTTATCACTTATCAAATATGAGATATCAATTCCTTTTTGTAAATATAAGAAATTTTATAAGATTTATACACTCAACACAAAAATTTAAATTGAGCAATTTTATAAAAATAGGCACGCTTAAAAAACAACCTGACCCCTGCTTTTCCTTTTAAAAATGGGACATACTAGATTATTCAAAAATAAGTTGAGGTACTTAGTACCCTCGTGTTTCTTCCAAATCAAGCATGTATTACTGTGTGTTTACTAGAAAATACAAGATAATAATGATTAAACTAGTCAATTTTGTAACAGAATATTATAATTTATACACAGTCACTATTGGAAGGATGATTAACTGGGAAAATTCCAAAAGTTAACGAAATGTTTGATATATCGGCTCATAAAGTTTTTTTTATGGGAGGGCAAAGTGAACGTGCAGGCCGAAATTCTTAAAAAGATCCCCATTGATGAAACTATAATTAGCACATTTTTTATCATCAAGATAATTTTTGACATCGAACGAGTTTTTTATTTGATTGTCCTTTGTGTACTGTAATATTTTAGTTACGTACCATAAAGTTAAACCACGTAAACGTTATTAAAATCCATTCATATTTGTATATACACATTGTCAAATTAATTATTATTATTATAACCGTATAATATAATATTTGTGTATACGAAAATTAAATAATTTTATTAGTGAATTCACTGCTGTTTTCTGTAACGCGCTTAACGGCAACAAGCAACTTGTAAATTAGTTTTGTAAATTAATTTCATTATAATTTTACTATTAATACTAATATTACGCATTCCTCACTTCGCTCAGAATCTAAAACGGAATTAATATTTTATAATATCGTATATAGAAATAATATTATTGTAAATTTTGTTTTATATAGTGAAGTATACTACTGTCAACGTGAAAGCTTCATCGATCGTATTATAAATAATATGAATTGTATAAAAGTGTTGTAATACATTTCTATTACACTATATAATGTTTTTTGTGCATACAAGAGTACTATTATTGTGATATGAGAATGCGCACATCATAATAGACCCCCCCGAGTAAGAAATCAATTTTCGAGATTTTTCACATGCATCAAACACTATACAGATTTTGGTGTGATGCTATATTATTTAGGTGCTCGCTGAAAATACATGACTGGTCAATTTTTTATTCTATCTGTCGTTTTATTTGTGTCAAAAAGTACCTACTAGCAAAGACCGTGACGTACCTATAACAGACAATACAAAATATTAGTTTTGAATAGTTTATCTGCAAACTGGAGCCATAAACATTTCATCGAAAAAAATGTAAATATTTTACGTTTGCTGGTTATATTATCTAGTTTTTTGCATTAGGAGGACATTTTTGGATTTTCCTTGTAGTTTTCTTAATAATCGGAAAAAATTAAAAGGAAATGTAGGAAAAACGGAAAAGTTTACTGCATTAACGATTTCATTATTTTCTATATTGTTCGTATTTTATTTTTATTTTTTTTGTATACAATTCAAAATAATCTTTAATATTTAAAACCTAAAAGTTTCACAAAATATCTATTTATACTATCCTTTTCTTTAAATCATTAAATGTTTTGGTTTAATTTTATAAGAACAAATCGTGTATGACGATTTGTAGATAATTTTTTTTTTAATTATTAAAGTGAAATACCGAAAATTCGAATCAATATTTTTCAAAAACTTGCATAAATGATGTATATAAATAAATTCTAAAAAAAAATAACTATGTACATCTAGCCATATAATCAAACCATGCGATCAATTAAATTTAATCAAACTCTTACTTGTAAAAAATTAGTTACTTAGTTGCTTAAAAAAAAGATTTAATTAAATTTAATCGTTTTAGCAGCAACTGATTAACCGCAGAGTGCTGATTTTTTTTTTAACGAGTCACGAGAGTGTATTTAAAAACGATATTATAAAAGCTGGGTTTTTTTTCCGGTTTTTCGCAATTTCCGGGACACCGAATACCGTTCACGTAAAACGATTTTTCGAACGGTTTTTTACCTGCAACTTACCTATATTACGCGTCTATCAGTATAAAATTTATAGAAAAAAGTTTGGAAAACCATAAAAAAAAAAAAATAAACAAGGTGGAAAAACAATAATAATTTTTTTTTTCGAATACTATTAAAATAATCTTCATCGCTATAGAAATTAATTATTCCCATCGTCGTCAACTCCGTAAGTAGAGATTATTGTACTCTATTGTGTCTGATGTAAATATAATAATATATTATAACATACCGACTAATTATCTTTTCGATTGATTTCTGTTGAATTTACTTCGCAAGTAGAGATTATTGTACTGTTATGTGTCTGCAGGCGGAACCCATAATGACCATTCTCTTATTGACCATTTTGTGATAACCGTTTTCGGCCAGTACACTATTTTGGTCACCAATGTAAGATTTTTAAAATGGCCCGATTGTTCCGAAGTTTTAAATATAAGATTGTATTATTAAGTTACCATCACATAACCCATTGTGGGATTGTATAAATTCAAACTTTGCCGTTTATGATAAGATTATCAGCTTTCTAAAATATTATATCTACTTGTACGTACCTATATAGATACGGAATTTTCTGTTGTCTGTTACTATTGTAACTTATTTATTAATTACTTTGAAGTAGCAAATCGTATTTAGTATGTGCCTATATGTTTTACAAGTTAATACACTTGCCATAATATTATGGCAAAATTACGATCCAAAAAATAATTTATAAAGAGATCCAATAACAAAATTGCACTAGTTCAGAATTCAACTGATATAAAGTGTTTAAGGAACATATCTAACAAATCCAACTACTATTCAAGAGGTACATGAGTCTCTGGAAAATACTGACATTAAAACTATGAACGATGAGTCATTTTTAATATTAAACGACTCGGAAAAACATAAAATTATATTTTCATGTAGAACAAATGTATTTTTTTTAAATGAAGTTGATATCATTTATAAAGATGGAACTTTTAAATTCACTCTCCACGATTTTTCACCACCCATGCATTTTAAAATGACGATTATATTATATTTCTCTTATTTTTGGCTTATTGCCAGACAAATCATTGGAAACTTATACATTTACGATTTTTCATATTTGTAATAAATTAAATTTATTATTATCCTGAAAATTTGTGACAGTTAATTTTGAGATATCAATACACAAACCTATTATAGAAGTATAAAGTATAGAAGTATCTAAGTCTTGGTTTCATCAAGTTCAAACCTTAGTATTAGTCAATGAATACAAAAACGATAATTCCGAAACTGGATAAAATATACTTTTGAACTATTATTTTTGAACCCAGGGAATGTAGAAAATTGTTTTATTGAGGACTTAATGTCGATTTATCCTGATATAAGATTAAGATCATACTATAACTATTAAACAGACACTTAAATTAGTGAAGAAAGTATATTTCCTCCTATTATTTGGGCATCAGGATCTTCTGATTTAACAAGAACGACAAATGTATGCGAGTCTTTCTATTCCCATTTCAACCAGTGTTTACATAAATTCTCCTCCAATAATATATTAATTAAGTGCTATAAATGAAGTCTAAATAGAAACGTATATCGAATTGCAATGTGTGGGTATCCAAAAATGTTCAAACGATTTAAAAGTTCGGAACCGCCGAAACAAAAATTCTATCAATGTTACAAAATATCAAAAAGGCAAAATTACGCCATACAGAACTTATTAAACGCATCTGTAAAAAATTTAATATATTATATCTATTTGTAAAAAATTGTATACATTTTTCAATTTTGTTTTACAATTTGTGTACAATTATTAATTGACATGTCCCATATGGGATTGATTTCATACATTTTTTTTAATTTTACCTAAATTTTCTATGAAAAAAAAGGAAAATTGTAAACAATAATTTGTAAAAAATGTACTCATTTACTCTACTATATAAAAAAAATATATATATACGTAATTAAATTTGTTTGTATTTGTATGTACTTTGTTTTTTTAAATTTAAAAATCTTACATTGGTGACCAAAATAATATACTGGCCGAAAACGGTTATTACAGAATGGCCGAAAAGGGAAAGGTTGTTTTGGCCGCCCGCTCGTGTTTGCTGTAAATATAATAATATATTATAATATTCCTACTAATTATCTTTTCCCTGCTATTTTCGAGCACTTTTAGTGGCTCCCACTGTACCAAATTAGCTTAAATGCAGAAATTAGAGTCATTTTTTAGGCAGATTGAAGTGATTAAATGTATGTCGAATAACAATATGAATTCCACCGTGTTATAGGATTATTGTATTATTTACATTTTGTACACCTTTTTAGACTCTTTAAATGAAGCCACAGAAATTAAATTTTATGTATAGGTACACAGTATGGAATCATCAAGGACATATGTTTTGGAGGCTTAAAATTTCAATCTGTGTACCCAAACATTTTTGTGCTAAAATTTCATATTTTTACAGGAAATATCGAGTTTTAAAAATAAACGAAACGAATCGATTAAGTAAGTGCAACAAGAAAAACTAGATCGTTTAAACATCAATATTTTTTTTTTTTTTAATACGACTTTGTAGTAACGAGTAACGACATACTTTATACAGTAAAGTATTATAGTTGTTCGCACGAAAATTAGTACCTAACAGTGGCATCTAAAAAAAAAACTTTTATTACAATCGGCTTTTGAGCGTATATTATTTTTATGCCAGCCGAAACGTATACATATCTATATAAAATACAACTAATCGTTCACAATGACAATTAATAATTCCGTTCAGTGAACTCCTACCGGTGACTGTATTGTTGTATAGTTTTATCAAACTGTATACTTAAAAATAGCGGGGGCGGAAAGAAGACAAAAAAAAATGCTACGCCGTACGGGTACGACGAGATACACAACACAGATTTTTTGAAGCGGAAAAATAATAGAACAACTCGAGTATAAAATGATCGTGTCGTATATATACGAAGTCATAGATCCTTAATGCATCGAGTGCACTATTTACGACTATAAATAAAATATATATATATATATATATATATATATTTTCCCAGCAGTCGACAGTTACAAAATAGTTTAATGATCGCGATGAGTATCGAAAAATCCCATCGCACAAGACTCTGGGACCTTTCGGCGCGGGGAAAACAAAACGCATTACAAAAATTACACATTATTTTCTGTTTTCCCCCTTAAATTTCCTAATGTTTTCACGGGGTTTGATCTGCTGGGAGAAAATTCAATACTAGTGATCAAGTTCTGCTGCTTTCGTGAGTTTTTTCGAAAAATAATATTTATTATTGTTGCACAGAATAGTTCCCTTTATTATTTCGTAACATAATACTTTTATTGCGAACGTTTAAAATAACTTATTTGTGCGGACCACGTCGATTTTTCAATTATATATAATATACGATTTAATTTTTCAATTATATCAAACAAAAATACTACAACACAATAATACCCGTCTAATACAATCAGTTTAGTAGTGATTCGGTATCGTAACGACTAAATAAAATTTTAAAAACTTGCCAGAACAAATTATTTTATTTATATTCTAGACCGCTCTTCGGAAGCTATAATGCGGTTAATAATATATTATGTGTGTTGCTGTAATATGTTTTAAAATTTATAATTATTTTTAAGTATATCGCAGCCGTTAAATTAATTTTGTTAATTTGTAATACGCATACACATAAAAATACAAATAACACGTTTTCGGGTGTTTAATCGGTATAATTTTTTAGTATTTTTTTTTACTTTACCACAGTTTAAACAATAATTCTAGGTATTAAATATAAGGGTATTTATTCTATTTCACTTAAAGAGGTAAAGTATGCTATAATTTATCATATTATAGTATTATAAACCGTGTATTATAACGATTAATTGTGTAGATAAAACGAGAAAATCCGATCCCTGTTGCTATATATATACAGGCAGGTTTACAAAACTGCTATAATACAGTAGATGGTAGTTAAAGCTATCGTTTTAGCGGAGATACCGATCTGTTCAAAATATTGTTCAAAAACCGAGCTGAGGGGAAAAAGTTGAAAAAAAAATGACTTTCAAAAATTGTTTATTATACGAAATTAAAAATACTATTCAAATGAGAAACCAAAAAAAAACCCTATACCTAATTTGCGATTAGATAAGGCGAATTTTTTAACTGTAGTTAATTAATATACTAGGTTTCTATAATTATTATTTTTCTAAGTTATTTGATCGAAACAACTAACAAACAATACATTCGCTTATGAACCATAAAACTATAAAATATTATTTTCCAACCGGAAAAATATCATTTCGATGTATTGGTCATCAATATAGACAAAAAATTATAAATTGTATACCAATCGAACGGAAACATAAGAATTAATGATTAAAAAAAAAATATATAAAATATATTTATCACTTATTATATCGTACATTTCTGTGCAAATTATACCCATATTACGTTGGATTCGGTAAATGTTTTTCGTACAAAACCGATTAAAATCACGAACAACGATGGACGCTAGAAGATTAATATTATTATATACTGCACACTGTATGCCGGTTAACTATATACATATAACACATAAATGTTAGACTCAGACGATAGTAACGTATGCAGGGAGGAGCAGGTTAAAATTCATCTCAACCCCCCACCCCATTTTCTTAAAAATAAAAACTTTATAATTTCAACCAAGTTATAAGGAAAAGCTTAATTTATTGATTAAACATTTTTTTTTTTTTTTTTTTAAATAAATTTTAGGATTCTCATCATAATCTAGTTGAATAAAGAAAAAGATTCTGTGATTTATTCATGATCATTATTTTTTACAATTCTTTCCATTCAAAATTTCTAAGCACGTCTTTGGTGGACACATTTAATACTTATGTATAAATAATATTTCCAAATATTGTTCCCGTTGTGATGACCATGTAGTGAAATCTTCAATAATAAAATTGCAGATTTTCTGAGGAATTCTTAATAATGAATAAATAATTTCTTTTATATCCCGTTGAAATCCTGCAATAAAGTCAAAAAATCATGGAAATATTTTAGAACGAGACATAGCTACAAAGGTTTAATGAAAAAGTACGAACGATCTGAGAAAAAACGTACTGCATATAGTCGGTGGTGACCCCGACGTCGGTCGTTCTGATAGGTTTTTCACCCGCAGTGTATTTAATTAATTTAATTTAAATCCTCGAATGTTTATTTTTTTTTCGCGTGATTGAGCGGCTCTATGATGGAGAGGAAAATACAATTGAAACCATAACGAATTAATGTGTGACAATAATAATTATTAGTTTCGATGAAAATGAATTGACAAAAACAAAATTATTTTGATTGGTTTTTTCTTAGCAGATTTTATTTGGCACGTGAATTTGTTCGAATGCTCATTTATGCAAAAATAATTACTATCAAAAGTTTTATCTAAGTATAATATTAATTTACCTAATTTCATTGGCGATGTCTGCAATTCTGCAAACAATAAAGAGCGAATACGTTAATCACAGTATGCGCACGGTAAAACCGTGTTGTACAAAAATACGAATTTAACCATGTTGTTCAGGGAGGAGGGTGTTTTTTTTTTGGCTTTGAACATTTCTATAGACACCCTAAATGAAATAGGGGAATACAATCTTGTATGTTTATATGCATAGTATTAGATATTTCAACTTTCAACTCCAACACCTACTATTTTAGATTCTGAATGAAGTGTGGAATGTATTGACTTTACAATAATGTTTATTTTTTTATACTGTATACAAAATTTCTACCAGAAATATTGCTCCGATTTTTAAGTGTATCACCATTTTTGAAAGAAAATATTATAAATATATAGTTGGTACTTTAGGTAAGTAGGTAATTTTTGGATTTCCCTAGCGATAGGGATTTTGATAATGATTGGGAAAAACCTGAAAATTTACAAAAATAATGCTTTTATTATTTTCAATTATATTTTTTTGTATTAATTCAATTGAAAAATTTCGTTAAAATTAGAAATTTGGAAAAAAATCCTATACATTTTCCCTTTTTAAAATGTGATAAAATTTTCAAAATATTTAAACCATTTAAGCTATTTTTAGACTGTGGATACAAATGTTAGACCCAACAGAAAATTTAATGGGGTATTAATTATAAATTGTGCTTAGTGGTCAACAAAGAAAGAGTTGAATTTGATGTTGTATTTATATATATATATATAAGAATTTTAATAACAAATTTTGACGAATATCGTAAATATTTTAACCTTTTAAACATGTATAACCGAACTCTGCTCAGAATCGTTTTTCGTTAACAATCATTAATCTTTTTATACATTAAATTAAATCTTACCTTCTCAACTTTTCACTTACAACAGTAGTTCACTCATCGTGCGAAGTATATACGTCTTTTATAATTAAATCTTATTTTTATTAAAAAAAAGTAGTATATTGTATTACTATGTAATACAAAGTAGGTGGGAAAAAATTAGGCCTAATGTCGGAGCTCTGCTCACGGGTGTTTTATTTGACCAGGCGAGTTAAACATGGCTAACATATTAATACTGTTTATCGTAATTAATAATTATTAATTCGTTGTTGATGATATTTTGTAATTCGTTCTGAGAACTGTTTCTATAAAGGCTAAACAAAGCCAGTAACTAGTTAAAAAGTTAATACGAAAGTTGTAAGTTACTTTCTTTGATACATTTTAACAAAACTAGTTTTTTTTGAAATAAAATAAGTTAGAAAATAACGTACCTATTTATTTTGAAAAACCCTAGTAATTTTTAAATGATGTTTAAGAATATTATGTATAAAAAATCTGTATACCTGTATTTTTTGCGATTAGTTTTCAAAATAAATTACGTATTTTTGTAAGAGAAATTTGATTATCATTATCACATTATGAGCATATGACCTGTAGGATACCAATTCGAGGCTTGTATGGTTAGTTATTTTCCATTCGATGAGTACATTTTACAAAATATGTTTATGAGTGTAGTAGGTTATTTAAAACAAAAAACTTTTAACTTGACTTAGTTATTCAGTTTATTTAAATTGGTTAATTAATAAAATATTTTTTTACTTAACTTTAACTAATTAAAACAAACGATTAACTTGCTCAGTTTAGCTCGTTGTAACATATTATATTGGTGATCGTAAAAAAGTCATTTTTTTATGCAATTACATAAAGTTTTTTCTCCGTCATTTTTATAACACCACGTCGCCAATCTCTTTTGGAAGCTTTTTTTTTCATTTGTTTACGTGTATCTTATTATTACAGTTTCGCTTTTTTTCGGGGGGTGAGAGAGGAAACGAAACTAATGTACCGACTGGCATTTTGTCATATCGAATTATACTCTGCCGTAAATCGTATTTTTTTATTAATTGTTATTAATTTAAATTTGATTTGTTTGCTGTCCAAATTTGACTAGATATATGATATTGTATATTTTTTAATAAATGCGGATAAAAAAGTCGAGTAAATAATATTAATAAATACGTGATACTATTGATATAAAATCGATATTTTATAGTCATTTTTTTTCGGATGCGATTTTCTTGTTCTCGCATGTTGTAATGTCCCATCTGCAATACCAAATCAAATAAATAGGAGTATTTTAGATTAATAAAAGGTATTGGTTTTACTATAGTGTATGTTTTCGTTTTTATTTTTCTGTCTGTGAACAATTTTTCTACCAGAAATGATTGAAATGCCTACTCCGACCATTAACTGTATTATCTTTTCTAAAAGTAAATTTTGTTCGGTTGATGCACTGAGGTCATTTTTTGATTGTCTTTAATCTTCTTAATTATTGGGAAAAACGGATGCAATAGCGATTCCCGTTATTTTCGATTATGTTTTTTTGGTTAATTCAGTTAAAATTAATCGTATATGAGACGTGAAATGTTCACATAAAAATTAAGAAATATGTTTAACAGTTTTTTTTTTTGTTTTGCAATAAATTTTAATTATATACAGTACCCAAACGAAACTACCCTGAAATCCTACCTTCCCAACTAGCAACTACTCATCTACTACCCGTGAGAAGTATCTTTTTCTTTTTTTTTTAACAGCCCCAGAGATACGAGCGCTTGGGGGAGACATTGTAAATGATTTAACTTCTTTAAGCTGTCGATTTCCATTCGACGATTTAAGTGGTTTTTCTCGTTTTTTTTTTTTTTTTACCTATACTTTTCTTCTACCGAGTACAACTTTGACGTTGACCCACTTAACAGTTAATATAATAATTTATAGTAATAATATATTATTATTATAGTTATAATAAAAATTATTTTATTCAATGTTATTCATATATTCAAATTAAATTATAGTACTATATTTTGAATGTTTGTGCATTGCGTCCGTCCGATGTTTTTTTGAATGTCGGTCACCAGCCGTTGGTCAACTAAAATATTAACGACTACATTCAGAATAATAATTCAATTTAGAGCACTTATTTGTGTATTGCTGCATATATTTTTAGATTTTTGTTAATAATTTTTAAGATTCATATTAATTAGAAGTAGTTTACGAAATTTTATTTTGCATACTTGACTATAATTATATATTTTTATATGTTTTGATGAAAAATATGACAATCGTGTAACAACGCAACAGCTTAATTTCAGACAAGATTTCCCAAGAAATAACAAAATACTAATCACATTAATTTTAATAATAAAAATACTTAAAGCCCTTTTTTTGCCTGTTAGTTGTTACACATAGTGTACATTTTTATTTTTTTGTGGACCATATAACTGAATTTTTTAAATACAATTTATTTTTTTCTAACACATATATGTATGACATATTTTTATAAATTTACCGCATATTATATGGCATATTTTAATATTTTTTAGAGCGCATAAATTCGTGCTCTAAATTGCTTAACATTGCCCCCGACACAATATTATATAAATCGTAATAGAGCTAATTAAATCCGGACAATTCGTTAATTTTTTTTTTTAAATGCCATAAATATGGGCGTTGATATTTTATTACGCTACTCGAATGACGTCGATTTAAATGTCGATAAGGTATTATATGACATCGGTTATTATTCCAACGTACTATTATTGGTTCACATAAATTGGCAACATTGCCATTTCGGTGCGTTCGTTAAGTGTGCAGCCTTTTCGTACACTAGTTTTATTATATTTTATACGTCTCGCGTCTGCATTTTGTACTTGGGTTTTTTTTTTTCGACCTTTCATTATAGTTTTGAAAAATTGTATTATAATATTTTCCGAAAACGTCCAAAACTACGCTAATAATTGAAAATGGACAAGTTGGTTGTATATAAACTTTGCAGTGAAACGTTATTACTATTATTATATTACACATACAAATTGCATAAGAAATTTAAAATTTTTAAATATTTATAATATGCTCATATCCGTCCAATTACGGTCATCGTTTTAAATGTTCGAAAGGTGCAATTTAATAATAAATATTATACAAGATATTTAAACGTATACTATAGCAGTGATTCTCAACATTTTCAAATTTTAATTTCTGTCAACTCGTTAACGAGATATTTTACTTTTAATTTTGTCATTTTGTGGTGAGTCTATAGGGAGAAAATATAGTGGCGCATCATTTTATGTGGCGTTCATTTTCCAAAAAAAACCGAAAAAAAGTTAATATTTTTCACATGATAGCAATTGCGGTTCATCTATTAATCGTTCTGTATATTATATAGAAGGCCGACTCTAATAATATTTTTTATCATAAATAATATATATGTATTTTGTATTCGCTTCGAGTAAAATATTATTATAATATATTATGTATGTGCAATACACAGTCCGGTTTAGCGTTAGTGTTGTTAAGTTGTACTTGATGGAAACAGGACATATTTTTGTGTGTAATACCAAATCTGTTGTGTGTAATAAGAAATTATTAAATGTGTAGTATAGAATTATAAAATATATAAAGTTATAAAGAAATATTTCTAAACTATGTATTGTTATAATATTTTTAATTGTTTTACAAATTTAGAATAAATATATTAAAGACATTTGATCAAATACAAAGTATTTTAAAATTTGTTATTTATTATTATGATGTTTTAAAACTTGTTATATTAATGCTTGTCAGAATTAGTTTACTGACTTTGAATAAGGAATTAAACCCGTAGGAACGTTATTTAAACAAATTTGTTAAAAAAATAATGTATAAATAAAGAACAATTACTAGTAGATATTATGTATTATATTTTTAAAGTTTACTTCTTACATTACCCATACATTTTTCCTGGATAAAGTTTAAACCTAGAAATATTTGTTTGAAAAAAAACTGTAAACAATTATAAATGGTAGAAAAATTAATAAAATAGCTATATTTAAAGGTACGGTGGCAAATTTTATTTTGTGAACATGAATGTGTAGTTTAAACTAAAAAGTGTGTAATACGAAATATTATAAAAATAGGCACTGGATGGAAACATATAATATTATTGTGACGTCAAAATATATACGTCTTATAGTATTAGATTCTTAATAAACGTATAATATTATAATAGTTGTAGTATATTTGGACCTTCAATTTATTATAACAGCTATATACTATATTATATACTCGACGACACATATCATACTCGAGAGCATTTTTAAGGAGATTCTTTGTGTCCAAATGGGCACACATTAATATCCATTGGATACCCTATAGAGTGAGCTGTTTACTGTGTGTCTATCGCTAGAAAATAGAATGATAATAATAATAATAATATATTACGACATTAAAAAAACATAGGTACATGTTTAAATAAAATGTACAATATAAAAATTTACATAAAAACAGATAAAATTATACCTTTCCAAAAAACAAAGCTTGTGCTTGGGTTGAGTAAGTTAAAAAACAAAAATTCTACAATTGCAACTTTTAAAATGTATTATTATAGACTAAGGCAACTAGATAGGTACTAAATAAATTAAGCGGAAAAGATAAATACAATTCAGATAATAGAAAATACTACTATAAACTAAAATTATTTAAATCTAAGAAATTCAGATAATTAATTAACATTGATCTAGTTTTAAACCGAGTGATATCTACATTTAACTTTCTACATACATCGATACCTATATTAATTGTATTGAATTTCCCGAATTTTTTTATTAACTTTAATACAATTCCAATTGCCTTTAAAAGTTTTTAAACGAGTATTATACAAATGTTGTAGTTTAATAATAGATTGAAATGGTAAATTTTGTAACAAACTATTAGATCTTATACTATAGGAAATAGTCTCACTAGTGTTGGAGGGGGGGGGGAGTAGTAACCAGAGTAAGTACAATAATTTGAAAGGGACAGTTTAGCATACATGCTCGTGAAACTATTCAATTGATAGAGGAGGGGGAACTGGAAACTCGGTGGATATTCACTGAAAAAATGCCTCGTTACTCGCACGAGTCGAGCGTGTCACAAAAATTTACTGTACAACTGCACCTGCTCCATGTTCAGCCGAAGCGATACGACGGCTACTGATAATGTATAGGTATAGTTGCAGATTATGGTTTCCCGCGCACGTTATTTATTACTGTTGTATAATACACAATTGCCCCGCGGTAAATTATTTTTAAATTATAATATTATTATACGATTTATTATTATATAAATACTTATAACGTACACCAGGAAAACAATAACATGGCATTGCGTCACAGCGAGTTTTTAATGCAAAAAGTTAAAGCAATAGACATATCAGCTATATTAAATAGTGGTGGACTACATTATTTTTCTTTACCCTTTGACTAACGCAAATAATCAAACAATATCCGATAAACAAAAAAACGCTGATACTGCTGGTGGATATTTCACGCTGTTTTTAAAAGAAATTTGGAAGGTACCCAGGTACTAACGAAAAACAATTCAAAGCAAAATATTATTAGTTGCCCTTTTTCTCTTGTTGCAATAGTCAATCAAAAAACAACAAAAATTATACAACGAAATTCCCAGTTTTTCCATTTATTAACTATAAAGAAAATTAACAAAATGACCTCTTCAATTCACCAACTGGATCAAAATGTATTAATTAAGATTAAAATTGAGATTCGTAGAAAAGTTGTTTACAACTATACTCACACGCATTCACACACTCTGCACACAAATACGTCATAGTAAAAATCAATGTACTTCGCTCAGAATCTAAAATGAGTGTTTGGTAAGAAAAAAAAATGTTTTGAATTTATCATAAATTTATAATGTACCTAGATAATGATAATGTATCAAATCAATCTGTAACAGTAATAACATTATTAATTATGAATCAATGATTTCCATGGAAAAACAAAAAATATTTCTTTTTGTTTTCTTTCCAGATAATTACCCATTTTTGCTCATAAAATGGCGTACAACTTTTGCTCTAGGCACAGTATCATTCATTCATTAATATTCAACCCTAAGGTTGGTTTTACATCATTCTTTTACAACCCCTCCACACTTCTAAGACACATTCTACTTTGTAGACAATATAATTATCTATGGTTGAAACACAATGAAAAAATGTTCGTCTTTTGTTTTTCTCCGCTGGTTTCGAGTAGTATGCCTGAAAAATAATTGTATTTTTAAAATCGTTTTATGCCCCGATTTAGACGTCTAAAATATTCGCCAACAGCTGCTTATTTACCGAACATCATATGCACGAGTCACTCTATAAAATCATTATTTGTTTTATTAAATTATTTGATTAGCGATTATTAGTAGAAATGTGATTGTAAATAAAACTTTTACAAAATGTTTAATTAATATTCGTAACGTTTGTAGTGCCTTTTCGAAGCGCAATTAAAACGTAGCGCCCAAAAATAATTACTCATTTTACTATTGGCTTATTTTTATTATAACGTCTTTTATGATGCTGAATTCCCAGTAAAAACTTTAATATGGCGCCACTGTTACACGAACGAGAAGTAAAAACAGTTTTTCTTGGCAATCTCGATAAAATAATTTATCCGCCTGACCTCAATTATCAATATACTATACAAATTAATTCAGTAAATAATTATTAATAATTATTATTATTATAATGCTAATACTAATACGAATCGATACGAATCGATTTTTGATTTGTCTGTGCATATACATGGAGTGTCTCGTGAGGATATGCCATTCCGTATAATAAGATAATATTAAAATTCTTTTTTTCCATTTCTTTTTCTATTTTTGATTTAAAAACTATTTTTTCCATCTAAAACAAAAACTTTAATAATTACTTTTCGTGGTGTATACATAGTTAGTTAACAAAAGTCTTAAGACAGTCGATTTGAAGTTTCGACGACGACGTGTCCCATGTATACCTAATGAATGAAAGTTTAGAAAAACGCATTCGATAGAATGGTCTACTCATCAAAAAAAACCAGATTAAATTATTGTTATACCACCTATACGAACGAGCTTATACGTACATTATATTGATAAATTTAAAACTTATAATTACGAGTATTACATGAACAGCCTCGGCTAACCGAGACCGTAACGATTCGAATGCAATAGTATTTTTTTTTTTCATTTTTCATAGGAAAAACAAAGTGAACCTGCCATTTCTTTTTATTAGGAATAAATATAAATCGAAAAACGAGTTTAATATCGCGTTCCGCCCAGGGGTTGGGATAAAAACACGAGAGTCAACATAATGTTGTATGATACAACTTGTATCGTAAAATGTTTGAACAGCGAAAACGGGAAAATAATAATTTTAATTATTTCGTTAGCACAATGTTAGATACCTACTTACATAATGATCATAGTACATACGCATTACACTTACGTAATATTTTGATATTCTTATTAAATTGTAAATTGAAGGACATGCGATATACGAGTAACTGATACATTTATTCAATATAATTATAGCCTATAGGTAATAATCCTTATTATATGTATATAGTTTGTCCTTATTTTTTTTTAATAAGCCTTTTTTGTTTTGTCTTTTATTATTGTTTCTAGTATTTCAAATCCAATGACAGACAAAAGCTCGACATTTGCTGCATTGATTTGTGTGTTTTTCTATTTATAATATATTATATATTTAAAGGTTTTTAATGTTAAGAAAAACATTTAATTAATTATATAGTTTCTGATTTAATAAAAACAATAAAAATTAAGATGATAAATGTATTGTAATGTATTTTTTAAAAAAAAGCAAGCACTGAGGATACTGTTGATCGTTGTACTTCTGTTATAAAAAATTGGAAACTGGAAAATGAGGAATAGAAAATTAGAAAGTTAGGATAAATAGTTATTAAATATAAATATGTACACATCGTTAAGTCGTTAATTGCTAACGATATCTGATTCTGAGCAAAGTCCGGTTAAACATATTTTTAAATGTCATGATTTTTACGATTTCTGTTTAAATTTAAAATTTAAATGCCTATACAAAAAACAAAAAAATTAAATCACTGTATTATTGGCGACCACTATATACTACTTATAATGAACGTCATGTTAAATTTTAAATTTTTTTGATAGATTAAAACAATTTTATCCATATAAAATCAAAAACAATTCAAAAATATTAAACGTCTATAGCTCAAAAATCGACAGAATGCAATGAAAATATTATCACCTCTAAAACATAGGGTAGTATAAAAGCCTATGCTAGTATTTAGCAAACATTTCATATCCATACCATTGTTTTTAACTGACAACAACAACAAAATAAATTCAAAAAGAATAAAATTATGTTATTGTTATAAATTGTCCTGTTTTCCTTTAAGTTTTTCACGTTTAATTAAAAATAAAACTGCAAAGGAAAAACAAAAAGAGACGGACATACTTCGCACGTAGGTGGGTTGTTGTAGGTGAAAAGTTGGGAAGGTAATAGAGGGGAAATTTAATATATATAATTTCGCAACGATTAACTATTGCTCACAAAAAACGATTCTGAGCGGAGTTCGGTTGATAGTGTTGCTTAATCAACAATACACATGTTATATTAAGATAATATAATTTCATATGCATTCTACTTTTCTTTTATGATATTTGTTTGATTTTTTCCCGGTTTTTCCCATGTATTGGGAAAATCAAAAAAATGACCTCCCTAAGATACCACACCAGTCAAATTTTCGTTCAGAAAAATTGTTATCATTGTAAATTTGAGCAAAATTGCTAGTAGAAAAATTGCCCACAGCCCCACAGGAAAAAAAAAGGTCGTAATATTATTTTACTATAATATCTACATTTCGTGCATTATCCCGTTTTTTCCATAATTTCCCGAATCTTTCCATTTATTGAGAAAATTTCAGGGAAAATCAAAAAAATAATATTCCCTAAGTACTTCACCAGGAAAATTCCCTTTCAAAAAAATTGCTTTATTTGATACTTCAGAGCAAGATTTCTAGTAGAATTTTTGTACATAATATAAAAAAAAAACTTTTCTGAAAAGTTGTTTACAGACCAAAACAAATACATAACATACTATGTAAGCACACATAAACCAACAGATCCCTCACTACGCTCCAAATCTAAAAATGTACGCTATAGTAGAACCAATAATTTACCTCCCTGACCACAATATCTAAAATCCAGTAAATACATAGTTTTTATTTACAATTGGTTATTTTTTGTTATATATATATATATTTTTTTTTAACGCAAAACGGCACGTGTATGTAAGGCGTTTTTAGAGGATTATTGTATAATAAGTTTGAGTCCTAATTATAATTGTTACACGATGATGTCTGTTTACGACATATTATAATTTATTCGGAAAACCGCGCAATGTCGAATTATTGCAAAATAATCGTTAGGCTCCTATATACTTTATATACTCGTGATGCTCGTCACGCGGAAAAAGTTCTCATGCCCGTGCGAACTTTTTTTTCTCATTATCTATACATTTATATATTATCATTATAATATTATTTACGTTTAATCGGTATTCATTATACATAATATTATTCCTACACAGCTGATAGTATAATATATTGTGAGTACGCGACGTTTGCATCATTTTCGTATTACTCGAACCGTTTTGTTCCCCTTCTTTAACACCCCTCCCCCTTTAACCATTCCCACCACTGCCTGCTGCAGTTTTATAATTTTAGACAACAGCAGTCGTCGGGCACGTGTTGCTCAATAACGATTTAATATAATTATATATTATCAGTTTAAATTACTTATATTATGTACAACGAGATGTTGTTGTTATTTTTTCTTCGTGTCGGCCGTCTTTTTGTATATAATAAATTATTAGAGAGTGTCTTTGGGACCCCGTAGTATAATATACAGGGCGTTCAATATAACGTATGAGGCAATCATTACAGGTTATTGACATAAATACAATTTTTTTACACGAAAATGCATTTAAACAAAAACTGCATCTACTTATTTATGAAATTATTAATATAGAAGGTTGCTATTTTAAAATAAAATTTGGGTAGTGGCTTCATTCTTTCCTCTCCTCGGAAATAAGGATGAAATTAAAAAATGCAGAAATATGTAACATTTTTAGAGCCACTTGTTTCTTAAATTTTTTTTTAAAAAAAACAAATTCTCAGAAAAGTTAAAGTAATTTCCGAAATAATCACGACATTTAGTACACAGTAAATAATCTAAGTTAACGTGCATAAACAGTACGGGTTTATATACATCTTAAATAATAGGATTTATCTATTATAAAATAAAATACATTAATTTTACATTAATTAAAATATATATAATTTGTTATTGAATTTCAACATAAAATATTAACCCACTTACCGTTTAACGATTACATGCATTTCTTAATAACCAGAATTCAATAACGTAGGCAGGGTTTTTTTGGGAGGGGGGTAGTGCTCATAATCATTTTATAAAGAAGAGAAAGCACATACTATCAGTACAGTACTATCACTATTATTACAGAATAAATATGTGTTGATAAAATTAAATTTCATTATTTTATTCTGTGTTATAAGATGCTGAATGTAAAACTTGATTTTAAAAAATGTAGTGAAGGGAAAAATTTTATGAGGGAGGGTTCTGATCCCCAAACCTCCCTATGTGTACGCCACTGCCAGAGTTAGAATTAATTCGATTTGTCAATATGAATACAATTTTTAAAACGCATTAATGTAATTATTACATTATAATATGTATGTATTAAACATGCCTTTATAAAAATTAGAATTAGGTAATTACGCATTAATGACTCCTTGTAAACTTAGTAAGTGTTTTATTACGTTATCTTAATCACCCTGTATAACTTATACCTATAACGTACGGGCAAACGGCAAATGCGGAAAACAGGTTTCGGAAAGATAATGTACAAAATCCATTTCACTTTCCCCACATATATACCGTGTGCTCCTCCGCATCTATAATAATATATTTTAACATCATTTTTTTATTATCCGTTTTTGTTCACTGTTTAACGTTAAATGTATATTATATACCTATCTAAGTATTCCACAACAATCGTTTTTAAACGCAATCAAATCATCAAATTGCGTTTAATAGGTAAGGGATGGGAGGGGTGAGGGAGAATTAGTTTATACTATGCAAAATAGCAGGTATTTTTCTTATAAATTATTCTACTTATATTAGACACCTGAGTTTTTTTTTTTTAAATTCCGGTATTTACAAATATTGTATGTTTTATTTATGCTAAACGGGTGTATATTTTCCCGTAATTTTTTTATTAATATTATAATCGTTCGCGTGACTTTTTTTAAATATACATATATATATATATATGTATAACAGGCCTTCTGTGTCCATAAACATATTATTATATACCTACTATTATTGCGATGACGATTCAAGTGATAATATCTAGATTAACATACAAACCGGTTTTTCTAAGTTTTGATTTGTATTATTATTACCTATGATACAGACGATTAACGCGCGAGTCTCGTAGTTTAATTATTTTTGAAAAGCCTACGGTTTTATTTTATGGCTGAGATCATTGTTGAAAAAAAAAAAAAGTAATAATAAATATCTTATTCTAAAACTATAAAAACGTACGAAAAACGAGTTAAAATATTGCTAACGATATTTTAATATTATTATTGTTTATTTTTTTATTTGTAAACACGATTGCCCATATATACTATATTATAACCCGTATACTCTAGACATTTTGTTGACAAATTATGGGTCTACTGCGTATACTATCAAATAATTTTCCAAAAAAAAAAAAACCATAACTTTCTCATATGATTCACAATACATTTTAGATTCTGAGGGATCTATTGTTTTTACTATAATACCTATATGTTTTATTTATTTTTTTTTTTTAATCTGTAATCAAATTGTTTTTATAATTTTTTTTAAGCTAAAATAATGAAGAGCATTGCAAATATTACAGCCTTACAACCCACACAGCATCTGAAAAATGATAATATTTTATAAATATTTTATTTTTATGATAACAAAATATTTTGTTGTGTGATTTATAAAAATGTTTTTTAAACATTTGTATGTTTCCAATAAAAATTAAACGTTTTAGAAATGAGATTAAAATGTTTAGTGAATGTTATTCTAAAATATTTTCCAAACATAAACTATTTGGGCAAAACATATTTCGATAACATTTACACCATTAATTTCATCAACATTACAACAATAATCGAAAATATTTTGACCTATACAACTTTCCTAAAAATATTTTGTTCATATTATGGAAATATTTGTTTGCTGTGTGAGAAATCATTATGTATAAACGAACTTTGCTTAGAATAGAAAAACTGTTTAACCGTAATCTACGTAGAATCGTTTTTCATTTGCAACGGTTTATTTATTACCACTGAACTCTGAATCGATTTGTATTCTTCATAGGATTTTATTTTTCCCTCAAGCCCTACAAGTAATCTTAGCTACTATTATTCTCACAAAATTATTATATATCCTCACATTCATTTAAATGTCTTCGTCTACTCAACAGGTGCTACTGCATACATCCTATAATAGGGTGATTGAAAAATTTCAAATACCCGTACTAAATTTTTTTGCGAATAATAATACATTTTTAACCATGTATACACCGTATTCGTGAATATTATTATATTTATATATAGTATTAATTTATGAAATAAAAATAATTTGTTATTTTATACTTTTCAGAGGATTAAATTCCAAGTAGCGGAATGCAGAATGTTTTAGGAAGGATAGCGACCACTTTGGTTATTTTATATCCAGTAATTGCGTTTTCGATTCCGGAGTCGGCCATACAAACATCATCGTTGAAATCTAGCAATACCGAACAGGTACACAAACCGACTTTTTTTGTTTTTAATTAATATAACAACGATAAACAAACACTGTAAACTGGTAATTAAAGACATCGTATAACGGGAAACTATATAATATTGTTCAAAAACGGATTAATCATATTCAACATTTTTAAATTTTTAACTAATAATCAAGCACATTTTTATTTCAAATTAACACTTGATTATTAGAAACGAACACAATAATAATTAATACTATCCTATATATCAAACAAAGGATCTACAAAGGAGAAATGAACGCGGAAATATCATTAGTATTATATAATATCTGATAATTCGATAACCGGGTCGACCGTCCCGCATTGTGGGTTTCAATTAAATAAGTTTTCGCAAAACCCGGTCTGGTCGTGACACAATAGGTACCTACGCATAATTTGGAACGGACGCATGAAAACAATTGATAAATAAATAATAATATAATAAATTATAATTATGTTATGTTGAAAGGCAGTAGCGTACTCATAAGAGGCTAAGAGCACTTCAGCCCATCGGTACCGTGTTAAAGTAAAAAAAAAAAATAAATATACTATTCAAAAGTGAAAACGTTTTTCTTATAATACAGTAATCATTGCACTACAGGGTCGTATACTGGCCATATAATCTCAGAAGACAGTGAGCCGCTTCCTGTACTTAAGTTTCTTATACAGACGAAAACATTGGATAAGCAAGAATATTATGGTTATAGATTTATTTTTTTTCCCCTGTAGTAGTTCCATGAAAAATAATCATAGAATCTGGTATTTTTACCAAACACCTACAATATATTAGCATTTTCTAGACGTTGTAAAATTTTCTAAATATTTTGGGACTTTTTGAATTATTTATAGCTATTTAAAATTGTCAATAACTTGTTTGGTTTTATTTCGATGATATTTTGTTGTTTCATATAAATTTAAAAAAAATTGAAACGAAGTTTATCATAAATTGTACTTAATGATAAAATAAAAAGTTGAGTTAAAGGTTATTTATTTATATATACATTTTAAATACAAATATATGATAAAATTCGATAAAAAAAAAAAATTATGTGCGAACTACTTTTTAGGAATTAAATTTGAAGATGAAAAGTAGACTTGTTTTAAAGATCCAATTTATAATACTTCCTCAAAATCAAAATAAATCCATAGATTTGTATAAAAATCCAACATAAATCGAACTTGACTAATTAAATAATATTATATAGATGTAAATATATTTTGCTTGAATTATTACATTAATTTAATTTAATATACGTTGCTCTTACATTAAAAAATCTTGGGTACGCCACTGTTGGACAATCATTTTTCGAATATAAATTTAGATCGTAATTTAAGGTATAATTTTTTTCTTAATATTTGTGCATTTATGTATAAATATAATTTTTCTTTACATTTTCAAATATTATTTTACGTTCATAAAAAATGAATTAACTACATATTATTAAGTAAAATTTTTTTTTTAGTATATAACAAATATAACGTAAATGATTTTTGTTTTTTGTCAAATTCGTTTTACGCGTTATAGATTTGTTAATTTTCAGATATTCCCATCTATGAATTAGAAGGCATTCCAGTCATATTTTTTTTTTTCATATAATTTTGTCTAATGCAATTTTTTCCCATTCATTTTTTAGTCTACATCCATAAATGAATGCATTTTAAAAATTGAATTTGTTTGTATTGAAAACTATACAAATTTGTTATAAGCCCTTCTTTCTCGGGAGATAATTATATATATTTACACATCTATTATATATGTATATAAATTATAGATGGTACTATGTATATAAATTTAAAATGGCGGACAATGTAATGTGTATTTATTATCAATCATCACTAGACTTATATACTAATATTAAATGTGTGATGGGACCATTATATAGGATAACGCTGATTATACGAGGACGTTTGACGAAGAGCAAGAAGAAAAACGGGCATTGCGAGATTTGCAGATGGCCGGAACGGGCAAACGTGGTTGGCAAAACTTAAAGACCACATGGGGCAAAAGGGCACAGGACTGGCAAAATTTGCACTCGTCATGGGGCAAACGTCAGGGATGGCAAAAGTTACACGGAGGATGGGGAAAACGCGGATGGAAGGACATGCAGTCTGGCGGCTGGGGAAAGAGGGCTAAAGATATGGTATGCAAGAAATATATAATAATACTGAAACAAAAAATACTCATTAATATAAAAATATGTGAAAGGTGTTATAATACCGTTTTTTTCTCTTTTTTCATTTAGGCCAACGGTCAATGGTCTCAGTACAACGACAATGCCGACAAGTATGAAAACGAAATTCCAACCGTACTAGCTGACAAACGATCATGGGACAACTTTCAAGGATCCTGGGGCAAGCGGGCCGCCGACTGGACAAGCTTTAGAGGTAAGCCGGTAAGCTAAACATTTTTATTTTATATTTTGGGATAAAATTATGATTGATAAGATACTGCAGTAACAGTAGTTTTCTTAGTTCTTATTTGATTTTATGTAAATCAAATTATTTATAGATGAACAAAAATACCTGAAATTTAAAACACGAGGTTTATTGAAAGTTGTACTTAGTAGTAATAAAAAAAAGTTAGGCGTCTTTTCTCGTTTTCATTGTTGCATATTCGACACCGAAGATTACTACTAATAACCTGTCTCCATTTTTCTCTATTATCCACCAATCTGTTAAATTCTTCATCAGTGTTAATATTGATCTATTCCTTGATGTCAATCGTTCTTTTTTTTCATTTTCCTATTAGTGTCATTAAATTCTTCCTTCTAAAATGTTCAATAAGAAATGTTCATTTTAACCTCTAATCAGATCTGCATAGGTTTTTGAATAATTAATATTTTATGAAATGCCTATATTACATACGCTGCGTTTTCTAAAACCAAAATGTGTATATTCCCAAGACAATTCTCTTTGAAATATTACCTATATACTTAATACTCACGAAAATTTTTGGAGATAGCCTCTTCTCAAAATGTAATCCTAAAAACCTGCTACTGCTTCAGGTGTACAGAACCTAATTATACAAACCCGTATTCGTGTTCTCGTGTCTTTGTATGGTTTAATATTAATAATTAAACCAAAATATCGTATTATTATAATTACTGCAGCGATCTTACAAACCAAACTTATCATTATTTTCGCTAAGTCTGCAATAACAATAATTCACGGTTCTTCTTCGATTTCTCTTTTCAATAAAACGTTCAAAACAATATTTACAAGTTACAAGTATTTACATAGACACCAGCTTTGAAAAACATAACAGTTGTTATTGAAGATTGACTTAAACACTTTTTCTACTCCTGAGAAGAAAACAACTGTTGAAGAACTAACTGCAAGTGCAATATATTATTATCGTCTACAATAACTACAGTGATAATACCTATCTACAACCACAGAATAGGCTACAATCGTAGTGTTAACGATAGCCGATAAACATTTCAAATTTCTTATTAGTTACATCGAATTTTTTCAAAAATTTAAATTAAATATTGTTAGTTAATTTATATTATATATCTATATTCTGAATCATCTAGAATAATGTCTAATGGATGCTTTGTCCCCTAAAATTATTTCAGTGGGGGCTCAAGTTCCCGGTCACCCGTGTACCGAGTGATCCATTTAAGTGGATACACTCATTATCTTGGAAAATATTAAATTTTTTTGGGATTTGTTTTCTAAACATTTAAGAAACAATCTGCTCTACAATTTTACATTTTTTTTTTGTCCCTCTTATTTTTGAAAAGTAAAACCACTACCTACTTTTGATTTTCGAATGGCAACCTACATTAAAAATTCCATAAATATATGGAGTATTAATTAAAACAAATTTTAATGTTGGCATTTTTGATTTTTGTCGATTTGTTGACGAGATATTCAACTTTTAAGTTTGGGTTAGAGGAGAGTGGTGGTACATTATCAACACGCCGCACGCCGTGTCTCCACATGAATGATACTCCACCACTTTCCTCCAAACTAAACTTAAAATAGAATATCTCGTCAACGGCTTGACAGAAATAAAAAATGTCAAGACTAAAATTTATTTTAACTAATACTCCATCTATTTATAGAGTTTTCAATATAGGTTGCTATTTTAAAACCAAAAGTGGGTAGTGGTTATATCCTCAAAAATAAGGGTGCCAAAAACTAACATAAATATAAAATTGTAAAGCTGCTTGTTTCATAAATGTTCTAGAAAAAAAATTCCGAAAAAAGTTAACACTTTCCGAGACAGTGAAGGTCCTCACTTAAATGGATCACCTGGTACATGGTGCTTATTATGAATAGGTAGGTAATTGAAAACTACTGGTTATTTTGGTGGGGGAAAGGATTTCCATATTTCATGGTAACAATAACAGTATGGTTAAACGATTACCTTATATATAGCCGCTCTAGGCATCAAAATATTAAATAATATAGGTAAACTCAATATTATAATAATATAAACTTTTAGTTATTATTCATAATATGGGTACCGATATTTCAAGTATATAGTAACAAGATGTTTTCGATTCGAGGGTGCGCGAATTTGATTTTTATTATGTGTTTACCTATTATACGCTACTTATACATAATACTATCGTGTTACATAAAATAACAGCTATAAGCACTTTTGAGTAAATTATGTGTATATTTTTGAATAATAATATTATACTATCGGATCAATACTACCGGTATCTTTATTGTAGCAGGTTATTTCGTTATTATCGAAATCTACTGGGGAGTTTTTCGATTTTATTAATTGTGCAAGAGTATATAACAGGTACTCATATCTCCATTTTTAACAAATTTAAGTTACAACATTACAGTTACTCGTAGAATATATTATGTTAAAGTTATTAATTTCCAATCAAAATGTATTTAAAATACACTATCGATTTATAATTATTTACGCGGAAAACAGCTATTTATATGATTGATTTTTTCGTTAAAATTATTGTCTGTGTTTTAAATTGGTCCACACAGAAATCCACACGATAATATAGTTATTACTCAGATAGTTTTAAAATTTAACCATAATAGTTACAATGTATCAAAAAAATATCGTTGTAAGACAGTTAACGTAGAACGTTATAAAACATGATAATATATGTTTACAGGTATCCTGTCAAAATGATGCGGTATTAATGTCGCGGTAAAAAATGTCTACTTTTCAATTTTTTTTTTTTTTAAAATGAATCTGTAAATGCATATATGCATCAAGGGTAGTGCAGTAAGGGTTAAACTTTGTTTATTTTATTGACACCATTTATAAAGTTTGCATAGTTAACAAACGACTAACAAAAGTTTTTAATGAGTACGAAAAAATATCGATTGAGATTACTTACGCGGAATTTATCATAATTTCCAATACCAATTACAATACAAATAATATAATTATTTTTTAACTAATACAGTTTGACTAGGTATATAAACTGTATATATGAAAATTACAAAATGTACAAAGTTCAAGAAATGTTTTTTTCTTTTTTATCTGTATAAAACTATATATAAATTACACTAAAGAGATTAATAATAAATAAAAAAAAGTCGATTGTTGGAATTTCACATATTTTTTATGCGGTGACATTTTTTTTGTTCACGATATTTTGATCACAACTTTTTGACCACGAAAGTTTTAACCTTGCCATTATTGCCGAGGCATTTTTCAGACGTGAATTCATGTTCAAATGATTCTAGTTATTATCACTCTCACGGTCTCGGTAGTAACTATTACACATATACGTGATAGTTGATAATTACTTTAGTGATTATCGAAATTGTAAGAGTGATAGTAACTATCATCGTGTGATCTTTATAGACATTTTTATCGAAATTCAATAAACTACAATATTATGTCTTCTTCTATCATTTTACTATATCATACCTATCTACCTCTGTGGTGGATATGATAGTAACTATATGACTGTATAAACCGCACTTTATAGTGAATTAACATGAGTAAATAAAACAAGTTTTAATAGACAACGTACCCAATAACAATTTAATATAAGTCATAAGTATTTAATGAAATAGGTTTTAAAGCGTTGTTGTAGAATTAAAATAGGAGTAGACTTAATTATCGTTATTGTGCAATTGTTTATAATCAAATTATTATGTATCGTATACTTACAAAAATAAATAATAAAAATTGTTTGCGTGTCCAATCACAGGTTCGTGGGGGAAAAGAAGTCCAGTGGACTACATGAACGAGTACTCGGGATATGGAGACGATGATGATACTTACAATAAAGCTTATATTTCCCCACCAGGTAAATAATATACCTAAGTCAGAGTTTTGAATATCTATAGAAGCACGTTTATCGTTTTTATCGTCATGTGCTCGATTGTACAACTACTTATATATTAATCATGCATGGTAAAAATCGTATTGTGCTTACAACAGTTACAACACCTGCTACTATAAAATTATATAAGTGCCTAAAGATTCGTTATCAACAGATGGACGTTTTTAACGACATTGTTAAATTACTAATGCTTGTTGCGAATACATAATAATATATTATTATAATACATAATCTACCGTCCGATAAATATAATCATGTATACAAATTATTCAGGGTGAATTTTTTTTTATGCTTGTTCTTTCTATTTTGTAAACTTAATTAAAATAATACATTTTCTAAAAAAAAAAAATTATATCGTTCAATATCGTAAAAACGATTTTTATTTTATACATGCTTTGTTTTGATTGCCTACGTAGGAGGTTTAAAAAAAAAAAAACATTTCGGAACGTCTAAATTATTGCGTTGGATTATGAATTTTCATTTTCGATTATTTTAAATTATAATTATAATTTATCGTCTTATTGACTTTGTAAGGTATTTTATTTCAAGTAATAAAAAAAATATACATATATTATTAATTTAATACGCTGTAATTATATAATAACGAAAACGTTAAATATATTATTCTGTGATTTTTACCGATATTTTTCCTAATGTAATCCGTTATGGTTTCAGGTTACAATAGTTATTATTCATCGAACTCACCCAACTACCCAAGTGCAGGATTCGAAAATTAAGACATCAACAGTCGAGTTTTGAGATTTACTACCATGAACAAAAATAATACATTATTCACTATTATTTACTTACACTACTTATTATATTAGCCTTAACCTTATACAGATTATAATATTAAACAAATTTATATATATATATATATATCAGTTGGTGAAATAAAACTATTGTATATATATATATATAAATATATATATACACCTCCGTACACATTCAAGTAAACAAAACATATTTTTGTGCGTTTATATAATATTATATACATTTTTTTTTTTTTTTTTTTTTTTTTGTTTCACGGTGGATAATATCGAATATATTTATTCGCATAGTATTCGTTTCTTGTGTACCGAAATATTTTTCGTACAAATCAATTGCACGTGTGTATGGACACAAATTTATACGGTAATGCAATTTTATAATATACGATTACGTATATTATTCGATGTTTGCGTAAAATTATAACTGAACCCAAAGCTGAGCAGTATCTAGTTAAGTTAAAAATTACTTTTTTTGATAACTCAACTATAATTAAATAAAAAAAAAAATAGAAATCTAAAAATCAACATAAATAGTGAATAACTAAATTATTTCGTTTAATAAATAATTTTAACTTGATCGTGTTGTTCAAATTTAAGTTAGTTACTAACTTCTTGTAAAAAATTTCATTATTCGATAAAAACTAATATCGTTGTTACATATTATAAGATAAGCATGCCGATTATATAAGGGATACTCAATGCATGACTACAAGTACACGAGTCGTGTATAGTAAGTCTGTATAAATATTACAGGTTTATGAAACACGGTAAAACACGTTTATGAGTGTATAATAAATCATAATTTTTAACTCAACTAAGTTATAATTTCCTTGGTGGAAATGTATAACTTATAATTAACTTAGTTAGGTAACTACTAAAATTCGTTTATAATATTAACATTAATTTAGCGGATATAGATACAGATAGTATTATATATGTATACTTTTATTTATTCTATTGGGGATCGCGTCGGTTCCATATCGTAATCTGTAGCACACGGATTTTAAAACAAAAAAAAACTAAAGAAAAACACTAAAAAAAAAAAGCAATAGAGCAGTATAAATCTTACAAAATAGCTTAAAAAAAATCATTAAAAATGGTTTTAAAAAAAAAAAAAATTGTACATATTTTTGTGTTTATTGTCGTTTCAAGATAAATTATTCTATTATATACCATACGGTACGTGAATCACATTATCTAAATTACAACAATAAATATATCCATAAATCAAACATAACGAGATAAAATCGATTGAGTCATCCATGACCTTAACACATTATATAATATAAAAATAAATATTAACATTTTAAATGCGTTAATTCAGAACACACTTTTCAAAAATGGAACTTAAAAGCCAAAAAAGTACCCAAAATACCCAAAAATTGCACAAAAAAAAACAAAACAAAATGTCGTGAATTTTATTCCAAGTAGTATACATCGAATTTATAGCTGACACAGCTTCGTTTTAGAGCAATAGAAAAGAAAAAGCAGTTTCCTTCAAAATATCCGTACTCTAGTAATCTGTATTATAAATAAAAGTTTAATCGGAAAACCGAAAATCAGAAAAAAACTACATGACTACATTTTCCAATATGGTCTCATGTTCAAATTATAAACTTAATAACGGTTATTGTAATGTTTTGTGCGTTTTATATGTTACACCGTGTAAAAAAGAATTTTTAAATAATTGTTAATGAAAAATTTGTACCCACTATCAATTGGAAAAAAAAAATTGATTTTAGAATCAACATGTTCAAATGTCTAGCGGAGTTTATGCGTGGAAAAAGTTTATTTCGGCTGTTTATTGATAAACCCCCCGAATCATTTCTGCAAAAGTGCAGAAATGATTTCTTCATGAAGTTGTGTCACAGAATACATAATTATACTATAATATATCCATCATAAATAGCGTTCGAAATTAAACGTCAATTTGTCCGAAATTTTAGGCGAAATTGTGTTGAACCCTCTGGTCGTGTGTCTATCGCGCGATTTTCACTCGTGGTCTCGAAACGTTCTAAACGCATTTAAATGATTAGGTGTTTAAAATATACGTTACATCTACACCGCGGCAATAATCGCTAACGGTTGTTTTTCCCTTTGCGAGTGTTAATAATACGTATTATGCATTCAAATTACAATAAACGTGCGTAATACTTTTGGTAAATTCGCGAAACTATATTTTAATGTTCTATATTTTGCAAGTATTGCAGGTGTATATTATAGTGTATTTTTAATCGTTAAAATTGTACATAACCAATTATCCGCAGCTGCCAACGCTGCACGAAAACAAAAATAACGAACTGTAATATTCGCGACTTTGTGCACCATAAAAATATCCCGCTCGCCGTAATAATCCCAGTAATATCTCAGTGCCTTTTTCTATTCAAACTATTATATAAGCACAAAAATCATGGCATTTCAAAACGTGTTTAAACGAACTTCGCTCAGAAACGTTTTTCATCAGCAATGTTTTGTCGTTGCGTACGGATATATAGTAAATTAAACATTTTACGTATCCTACTTTACAATTTCCCTCCTACAATAGTGGCACACCCAACAGCAGTATCAGTTTCTTTTTTGTATGTATACTTGGGCATGTGGCGTAAGTCACGTGTGTTTTTTCCACGCGTACAGCTTTTTTCTTTCTCGGTTTTTATTTTCATTTTTCACGCTGTACGATTTGCCTAAAATTCTTATCGAATGTTTTTTTGATCAAATTTATTTTTTAACTTCAAAGCGTATTGGTTTTATTATGATGTGTGTGTTTTTTTTTTTTTTTTTGTGTGTGTCTGTAACTAACTTTTCTATCAGAAATATTGCTCCAATATATATAGTATAGTGCCTTTACTAACAGATAATTTTGTCTAATATACGCATTAAAGAGGTAATTTTAGGATTTTCCAAATAATTTGGAAAACCCCGAAAGAAAAATATAGTTAAAAGTTGAAAAAACACGTTTAGCCATATTTGTTACAAATAACTGAGAAAGTTCTCTACCTCTTTACCTTTTAGCCAAAACCATTTTTATACAGACAATATCTGAAAGTCTTTTTCAGAATTTACTCGAAATTTCTGTGTAGATAATCGTTGCACTTTGCAAGACATATGCATTTAGGCATTTTTTTTTTTATTATTATTGTTAAAGCGTCTTAAAGATTATGTGTTCTTTCTCGTATACATGAATAATTATAGGTACACATATCGCATGAAAACAAAATAGTTACAATCAATTTATCATTCAACGGACCGTGTCCATTAGATTTCCGTTTGCTATATACGCTGTCATGGCGTATTTAGATAACAACTTCAGTAGCAAGTGTGGAAAGGGGGTAAAACCTGCCTATTTCAAAAAAAATTAAACCTTATAAAAATAATACGTAACGCACCCGACAGGTGCGCTTAATACTGAGCAAATACGGCGTGTAAAAAAAAAAATCGTCGGTAATATATTGTTCGACTTAATCGAACTCCTCGTTATTATATCAAGCTCAGATGTTTAAAAAAATAATCGACTCTCTTAAATTCAAATTAATCTACTCATAAGTACTTTTATATGATTGTACACACACACTTGCAGCAGTTTTCATCTTACAGAATTGGGAATATAAGTAAGACTAATGAGAAGGAAACGGAATATTAATTTAAAATAAATAAATACAATCTTTCGAATATCTGGTTTTGAAATTGCTTGTTTCGGTATTAATTTAAAGATTCAATCGTGTTGATCATTTCGTTAATACACCTATTTAGTAGTCAGTGTTTTGTTTTTTTTTTTCAAATACACTACTCGACCCGATCATATATCCGTATCGTCGTCGTTGTGCTGTCAAACGGCCCCTAATAACGAGTAGAATTTATCTATTTTACTTTTGGACTATTCAACACGTCGCGCGTCGTCGTCGTCATGTGTTTTCTGTTTGTTCGGATAAAACGTCTAAACTCGCTTTTTAAACGATATATTATCGTATTTAAATATTATATCTTTCGTCCGGGCGTTCTAATATGCAGTGCAACGAGCGTAATTCGATTCGTGTAAGAGACAAATGCTTTTATTTTACATTTTCGATGATTTTTAAATGCCGTCTGGGCGTTACGCGATCAAAAGTCATTTTATTTTTAATCGGTTTTTGATTAGAGTAGTTTTTTTTTTTTTTGATAACATTTAGCACACTTATGTATCCAAAGCTATGGAGTATAAAAATCTAAATTTGCGCGCGTCTAATATTATATGCATGAATAAAACGAATAATAATAATATTTGCTGCGTATATATTTATTTTTCCGTTACGCGAAAAGGCCGCGACTTAAAGACCGCCGTATACAACTCGCTAAAATCTTAATTTCTAATTAATAGCCCCGCGCCGCAGCAGACGATAAATCGTTTCGAAATTAGGAGATGACGTACGAACCGTCCGTAACGCGGACGAGGTCATGACTATTACTATATAATAGTAGTGTAATATTATATATAGGTAATATTATTTTCAGCAAAACACTGTTGGACCTGCTCGGTGGTCTTAACTAGAACAAATTCGGCATTACGAATAATATTATGTTGTTGTAATAATATAATATAATAAACTGCCATTTCGATCACCAAAATATCGACAGGAAAACTCACAGCTAACTATGGAAAAATAATAAAAGAAAAAAACGTATACAAATATGTATTTACGTCGGAAATATTTTAGATATTACGAGTTAACGGGTTATTGTACAATTCCAAAATTATTGAACAAATTGTACATACCTATTTGATTTGCATATACTTATTTACTTATACGTATAAGTAAATAAGTATAGTACACCGATAATAATCGTAATTTTTAGTAGGTATCGTTTTTCTGGGCGATAGATCGTGTAAAACGGCCACGCCAATCAGACGCAGATAGTGCGTAACACGATCTAATATTTTGATGGCGTTCAAAATATATACCGCGAGATCGTAAATATCATAAACATACGCATATTATACTAGATCACGCACTGAAATCGTCTGCGTTTTTGAGGTCCCAAAATATAAGATAAAATTGGCGGAACACCGGTTTCAATGGCGAAAGTTATACAAATAATTTTTTTTGTTCTTTATTATATTTTTTACAATGATGGAAAATATTATATGCAAAACAAGTTTCATAGAATATAATATCCGTGAACACTAGAACCTCGTCATTAGAGCCGCATTTTCCCCCAACTAACTTGTCACA